ACTTTCTCACTCTAACCATGTTTCTTAACTTTTCTTACACAGTCTTCATTTTGTTAGTCTATGTTATACTACCTTCAGACAATCTAAACTGAGCAGGCCCTGCATTTGAAATGTGATCATCAGATTTCACTTTGCATGTATCTCCCCAATGTTAGTTATGAGGGTCTATATTTCCTAACTGTAAAACTAAAACTAACAATACTCAGAAAACCTATATAATATTTGTAAATTGGATGAATATCCTTAACGTGGTGGCTACACTCCCGTATCTTGCAGTGAGCAAATAACTTGCTGTAGTTCACCATAAGCAAATACAACTTCTACACTAAAGTGCCCTGAAATCTTCCTTTTGCTTTAAAAAATAAGTATAGGGAAATAAGAAAACTCAGAGAACTCTTTTAGCCAAACTGAGTGAATACCTGCTAAAATGCCATCAACACCCCTCACGCCTCATTTCCTTAGTAAATCTGAAATTTACCAGTGAAATATTTCACAGGGTATGGCAGGAGTGAAATCATGACTTTCCAAGGCCAAAATAAGCACTCTAAAATTTAAGTCCAAAAGGGAAAAATCAAAGTTTCTTTTATGTTAAAACATTCAAATCCACTTATTCATCTACTATTACTCCAGGAATAAACGTTAGGATCAAAAAACAGGGAAAACAGGAAGAGAGTTGTCTTTTAAAAACACCTAAAACAGGTCAGCCCAGAGAAAATATCACCTCTTTTCAAAGAAGGGATTTCTCCAAACTTAATTGCTTTCTTCTCCTCCAGATAGTCTGCTGAGAAGGCTGGCTCACCTGGCCATTTCTATTGCTTTTCTGAAAGGATATTTCTGAAAGATGGCTCAGAGAGCTATCTGAACTTATTATTACCCAATATTCAAAATGTCTACTACTGACCTTCATGCAGGACAATGCTTAGACACAGGGGATATATGGCTGAGTGGCTTAGAAGAAGTTGATTCGTAGCAAGCTCAGGACACAACCCCAGGCCTACTTGTCCAGTTTTTTAAAAATTCACTGTCATAAAATCTTATTTTTACAAAATAATCCATCCACATCAGCTTTTGCTAGTGCAACACATTAATTTTAAAGAATTTGGAAAACAGAGAAAGGGCTTTTTTTTTTTTTTTAGCTAAAGTGGATAATAGTAGTCAGGTAAATAAGGACCACTGTAGTTTAGTGAGAAAGTCAATATGGATTCTAATAAAAAATTTTTTCCTACATAATTTTAAGAAAATCAAGACCTTGAAAGGCTATATAAATAGACAAGTGGGAGGGGGCCTGGGTGGCTCAGTCAGTTGAGTGTCTGACTCTTGATTTTGGCTTAGTTCATGATCTCAGAGTCGTGAGATCAAGCCCCACCTTGGGCCCCATGCTCGGCGCAGGGTCGCTTGTCCCTCTCTCCCTGCTCCTCCCCCTGCTCTCTCTCAAAAAAATAAATAAAATCTTAAAAAATAGACAAGTGGGGATTTTTTTTAAATAATAAAATGATGTCTACTTGTTAGTAAATTGGAGGGAAACAGAGAAGTGAGCTGCCTACAGTCTATTGAAAGAAATCTATTGTACCCCTTACAAGGAAATTAATGAGTAATATTTAATTAAGAAGTTGTGATTGAAGATTTGCTACTATTCATGCCAGACATTCCCAAAGGGAAGGGAACTCAGAACTAAAAAGGACTGAGAGCAAAGAAAACAAGGGAGTGTGGAATACAAAAACGGGCCACGGAGGAGCCTGGGACCTCCGAGACATGAGAACAGAGAGAAACAGGCTCTGACACCTGCAAATAAGGAAACAGTGATGGAGAACACCGCTGATACTGACAAGGGGTCAGAAAGGCCAGCATCAAAAAATGTGAGGAATTTACAGAAAAATATTTTTGGTTCTAAATAGACAGACATCATTGCAGGCTTTGAAAAATTCAAAAGCCTTTCGCTTCAGATCTCTGCCTTCTATTCCCTCCCAAGAACGAGTGGCAAGTCAATTCCGACCCCTCAGTGTGCGGAGAAGGAAACGGAGAAAAGTACGTGGGATAACGTGCCCACAGTTGAGACACAGTCGGAAGCTGTTTGGCAGGGATGTTCCTGATGCAATGTTCCACCCTGATTTTTTTTTTGCGGGGGGGGGCTTTGGTTTAAAAAAAGTTTTATTTCTCACTCCCATAAAGCCCACCACAGGACTGTGGGATTCTCCAAAACAGCTGCTCTCCATGTTGCGGGCTCAGCATTCCAAACTACTCTGAGTTTCTGGCCCCTTTTTCTGTACGGGCCTCCACGACTGAGCGGGAAGAACCCTGGAGCCTTACACCAACAGATAAAGGCTTCAGCCCAGATGTTTCATGCTGATTTCAACACCAACCAATTCTCAGGACGTAAGGAGCTCTCCAGAGACTTTAAAGGAAAAAAATTAGATGACAGATACAAATATACAATTTCAAAAGGAAGAAATAAGTCAAGTGGATAACAAAATTACTTGACTTATACAGGTTATTTAAGAAACAACAACAACCGAAAGACCAGATGAGATTTTTCCAATCCTCTATCCTGACAAACATGAACAGATGAATACACTAGCACCAGGGACAGTGAGCAGCACGAACAACCACCCGCACTGAACAATCCGCAAACACAGACGGAAGTAGGAAAGGGACCATCTGACGTAGAAATGGGCCAGTTACAGGCATTTACCTTACCTGGATTAATCAGAAATTAGACCATAAATAATGCCGGCTGTAACAGAAAATATGTATATTGCTCTCTGGCCCCAGTTCCTGGCACAGAGCTCCCGAAACCCTTGTAATTTCCTAATTGAGAGAAAACACTAGAAGCATCTTTTGTTCTAAAATTTCGCCTGTGACCCTGATTCTGACCTAGGGCTCCTAAAACCCCTGTAATATCCTGGGTGCTAGGAGTGTCTTTTGTTCTAATGAGGTGACGCTGGGTGGGCTTCTGAATGGTTCCGGGTTGGTCGCTGGTCACCGAGAGACCAAATCACAATCAGAAGGTCTGAATTTTCGGGATTTTCAGCCCCGCTCCTCATTGTCTTGAGAAGGAAGAAGGGCTGAAGATGGAGTTAATGATCAGTCATGACTACATGAAGCTTCCAGACCGGCGAAGACGTGGAGGCGTGGGGGGAGGGGTGCTCCAGGACAGGAAGCTCTGCGCCCCCCCATAGACCTTGCCCTGTACACGTCCTCCCTCGGGGTGTTCATCTGTACCCTTTATCACATCCGTTCACAAAGTGGTAAACTGGTTTCCCTGAGTTCTGTGAGCCGCTCTAGCTAAGCCATCGCACCTGGGCAGGGTGTCGCGGGCAGCTCTGACTTAATTACACAGCCAATCAGTCAGAAACACAGGTGGCAACCTAGACTTGCCACTGGCGTCAGGAGTAGGGGCGGGGGGGGGCAGGCCTGTGAGACTGAACTCTCAAGCTGGGGGGTCTGAACCTTCTCCAGGTAGAGAGTGTCAGAATTGAGTTAAGTTGTCGGACACCCAGGCGGTGTCCCAGAGAATCGCTCGGTGGGGAAAGGGGGGGTGGGGGGGGACGGGACTCCCACATATCCAGTGACCGGAAGTGTGAGAGGAGAAGCGTTCTGCGTGAAAGCAAAGGAGAGACACACACAGGTGGGCAGAGGTTCCCAAATACACTGGTAGATCCATATAGTGTACTACTATATGAAATGATGATTATTCACTTATCTTGAAGTGTATTCATGCCATTGTACCACAGTATAACCACGCATATATGTACAACTGCGTGTGTAGACACAGAACATTTGGAAATTCACTAAAATATTAAGAATGATGCTAACCCTGAGATTTCAAGCGATTGTTTACTTTCCTTTCTTTTATACTTGTTAGTATTGTTTAAATGTTCACAGACTAAGTTTCATTTTTTAAGTGAGAAATAAACAGCAACAAAGATACTATCCTTCTTACATACTGATCCTTCATGGAAGATAAAACAAGTGCCATTAGGTAACAAATAATCTGGCAGAACTCTGTACCAACCAGCCCGTCCTTTTTCTGCCCCTTTATCTCTACTCAGAACGGATGCAAAAATACCCACATTAAATAAAATAAAGACAACATGCAAGAGTCTCTCTGTTATTACATACACAGGAAGACAAGAGGGGCTTAAACTCCTAAATAATCCACAACATTTTATCCCTCATTAATTTAATTTACAAGCGGAGTAATTATCATGTTGCGAAGTTATTGCTGAGTCCCACATTAAATCCCTGTGAGCTGAAACAATTTCGTTCTCAGAAGAAAACAGACCAAATAATTATAGAAATTTAGACAAGTTTTTTTAAGGCATCCTTGAACAGGCAGATTGGAAATGAGGACAACCTTCTGAAGGTACAACTTCTCTGTGTAGTTGTGTTTTGAAGTTACCTTAAGAAAAATCTAGTCTTGGGTTACATTTCAGAGACTCCCCACCCCACCCCACCCCACCCCCCGCCAGGGAGCCTGTGGACAAGTCTCTGCTTACTTCGGGGTGCCTTGTAACTTCATCTAACTCCCTTTCCTGTCTTTCAACCAGCCCCTTGTGAGGACTGTTACCTATTCACCTAGAGGGAGCTTCTCCATAGCAGCAGCCTGTGGGCACTGTAAACGGAACACCCGACCCCCTGGCCGTTCTCTAAATCAAACGGAATGCCAGAAGATATTTTTTCCTAAAGCAGACTTCTCTTTCTGCCTTGTAAGTAGAAATCCATTATTCCCTCATCAATGGTGACTCATAAAGTGCATTTAGATTTACCATCAAAAATATGAATTTTCTAGGTCTTACCCAATCTCATTAGGTAAGAAGCTATTCCCACACTTAGAAGCGGAGCTAGAACAGACGCAGTATTCGATCTTTACTACGCATGCATGTGCGTGGGTGCGTGCGCACACAGACACAAATCTCTAAGACGTAAGTCGCTATGGTATGAAATGCAATCACACATTGTTGTCGTAACGATTTCATTTTCCAAAACATGAGAAACTCCACAAACCTTCAGTTGTTCATCTACAACTCTTGTCACTTCCCCAGCCATTGATTCCAGGGTCTCTTGAATGGGACCGGATAACAAGCCACTGGTTCCTGCCCAAGACGTACCACCGACATGGTATAAGTTTGGTAACAACTGTAATAAAAATACAAATAACCTCTCTGTAACTATTTAAATAAGCACCAAAGTCATTGCAGAGTTAGTGAAAAAGGTAAGAAATACTATTAGAGAGAATCTGTTCTCGATCAAAGCCTCATCATACAGATTAATAAACTGGCGTTCAGGACCAGTATGTTACCTCCGTGCCTCTTGATGTCTTCCTCTGGGATATGAAGGTGTTTGCTACTCAAGATCCTCCTACTCACAACACTCGAGGGCTGTGTGACCAAGAGCAGAGCCAGGCCCAGGTTCCAGGTTCTCTGACCCCCATTAGTCTTTTTTCCATGAAGTCACATTTTGGGGACCAAATTCTAATTTGAAAGAAGCTTCCTTTTAGAGGTAACAGAGGGGAGTTTCATGCTATCAGCTTAGAAGTAGAATAATTTTAAATGAGCTGCTGCCCACGTAAACTACAACTCTACCTCTCAGTTCTTCAGGACCCGATGATATCCCTTGTCACCACATGGGACCCCTACTTTTTATTCTATATTTTGATGACCGGTAATTAGCCTGGGGAACAGAAAGGAAGCAAAGAGGAACTCCATTCACTCTGCCACTTGTTAGTCACCTTGACATTGGGTAGAAAGCTAAAAAAAATCGGAACTAGTTTCTAGAATTGAAGTTCAAAAAAGCTTTTTATTACGTAAGACGTTCACGTAGCCTGAAGTGAAACTCACCGTTTTAGAGTTCTTCGCATCACGCATGAGCCTTTCCGCTGACTTTAAGTCTTCCTGGACAGCGTCTCCCGCACAATTTCGTAAAGAGTTGAGATGGTCCTGTACTTTCACACATATCCTGTCAATCATCTGCTCCATGCCGTGAAAATGACAGCAAGCATCCGAGGCAGCGTGGCCAATATTCAGACAGAAGAAAACACAGAATGAATGAGGACAAAAACATCTTCTAACTGGAAGATTCAAGAAGGGAGCTTATATATAGCCAGTTATTAATTTATCTGTTCGTATCAGCAGCCTTTGGCAACACTAACTCCAGTGAAACATCTCAGGGACTTCCGTCCTTCTTCCTGCCTTAGGAAACGCAGCATGTAGAACAAAGGTGCGCACTTCTGGGTGATTCAGAATTTCGTGGCTACTCCGTGACACTTAGCTAGATAGTAACTCTCCTTCCTTAATTTTTATTGAGTACCCTCTATGTCAGACATAGTACTAGGTACGGAGGAAACAGAGAAATGGGCTGTGTAATTTGGCGATGGTTGACATGACTACAAGATGGTGCCCACAGCCAGCTGGTCCCAGTATTACAGAATCCTATCATCCCTGGAAATTAGTATTTTTAAAAAGATTTTATTTATTTATTTGAGAGAAAGAGAGAGCACAAGCAGGGGGAGCGGCATGCAGAGGGAGAAGCAGATTCCCCACTGAGCAGGGAGCCTCAGTCAGGGCTTAATCCTGGGACCCCGGGATCATGACCTGAGCTGAAGGCAGACACTTAACCAACTGGGCCACCCAGGTGCTTGGAAATTAATATTTTTAAAGCTAATTCAATTATATCAAGTACTTTTCCACATAAAGTAAAAGCCACCCCTCCCCAAGAAAAGCCAAGTTTAAGTTCTATTATTTTAACACAGGCAATAATAAAGTTGACAACATTTAGTTTCTATTCCGTGAAAGCCCCTCTCCCAGGTTAATTACATCTGAACCATTTTCAGTTACTCCATGGACTTAAGCGTGACGCCCTGAGGGAAGTCGTAGATCACTACTGTAGACAAAAAGTACCACAGACAGGCAAGATTATATCCTTTTGCATTTGCATTTATAGAGAGAAGCATGAAGCAAGCTAAGAATTCTAAAGAAAGAGCTAAACAGTGTGATTTACAAAGTTTCTCCAGTATTCTGATCAGAACTATAGCCTATTTCATGTTCTTCAAAAATTATTCATTCTTCCAGAGACCTCAGCTATCCAGAGTCCCATCCTATCTGATCATTCAATCAGAAGAGGTGGCAATCTAGTAATATTTTTTATTTAAATTCACACTTGCTCTATTTTGAATTATCTAACAACTACAGGAAGCCAAAGTCAGCCCTCCTTCCCCCATAAATTCTGCAATAACAGAAACTTGGCTACACCACTCAGAAGACTTACAGTCTGAACGAAGAGTGGCAGCAACACCATCCTTCCTGCCCTCCTCTTCTAGAAAATCAGGTTCATAACATCTACCCCATTTCTTTTTCTAGTGTATTATGAAGACAACCCAGTTAAGTAATACCACTCACAGCACCTATTCCCTTGACACAGGGTCACTAAGTCAACATTAATGTACATTAAGAACAGCTCCTATTATTATCAAATGTCCTGCGGTTATTGAAGTAAAGGACCCAGAGCTCCCCACAGGAAAAAGAAGTTGTATGAACAATGCTCCTAACTAAAATCTAAGCATGTTGGGAGCGACCGTATCTTAACTTGATGCGTTTTCACAACGCCCTGCAGAAAACCAACTATATGTTTTAAAATATCTTCTTAATTGATGTAAATTCTAACTCTTCTGTTGTATTGATCTGTGCTTCCTGAAGCGAAGAGTCATCCATAATTTAGATCTTACCAAGAAACAATACTTAATTTCAAGAGACAAGTAAACCACATACTAAGAAAGGAACTGATACATGTCTGAGGCCACACAGGACTCATTTGAGAGGCAGGTGGATGAGGCATTATGAAGTTGGTCATCCTTAAAAATCGGGAGCCCAAAGAGACTCCTGAAATGTGTGTCACGAGGCGGTCACCAAGGACACCGTGTCGATCAATCGCAGGCTCCCTTCCACAGGATGGTCTAGCACACATCTCAACACAGGTATCTCTTCTTCCCTAATCTGTTTTTCTTCAGGCTTCATATTCCTGGGTCCTCTTGCCATGCTACTATGGTGATAATCTTATGGTCCCCCAACCCTCTCCCCACCCAGGCCCCTTCTCTGAATTGTCTCTTCCATCTTGGACCTTCACGAAATATACCCCTCTCAATAAAATAGACTGTGACACAGGAGGAGGCGATCGGTAAGCTGAACAGGGCCAGCACCTTCTTTACTGTAGCAAATATACTTCCATTAATGTGGTACCGGTCAAACTGGCTTCTCTAGCAGCCAAATCACACCACTAACTCATGTCACACTTGCTGGTGACTACTTAGGTTTTCTCAAATATACTGGGTTATTATAGAACCCAAGGTCAGAACTTAGAACTCTTTTTTTTTTTTTTAAATAAGAGAGGTGGGTTTTTTTTTTAAGATTTTATTTATTTATTAGAGAGAGAGAGAGCACAAGGCGGGGTAGGGTCAGAGGGACAGGGAGAAGGAGACTCCCCACTGAGCAGGGAGCCCGATGTGGGACTTGATCCCGGGACTCCGGGATCATGACCTGAGCTGAAGGCAGTCGCTTAACCAACTGAGCCACCCAGGCACCCCAGAACTTAGAGCTCTTAGTAATAAATGCCATCTTTGGTTGCTCTCCACTTGTTATAACTGTCCCTAGTTCCAGCAAATACCGTATTTGCAGAAAAGTCTATCTTTCCCCATGTCAATTTCTTTAACCAATTCAAGAGAAATAGACTGAACACCTAAAACCAAATGAAATACAGTCCGGAATAAGATATGCCTTTTGCCACCAAGCAACTTAAAAGCCTAGAAGTGGAAAGAAGCATTCTCAATTAATAGTAACACAAGATAGAGAGTGCTTCATAATATAACATCTACAAGGGCACCCCGTTTTGTTCATTTGGTCCACTGCCAAAGCTCAGCTCCATTTCCTACAATGGTGCCTGCCACACGGCAGACCCTTCTAAGTATGCATTCAGTGAACACAGGAATGATACAAATGTACAAGATTTCAGCCAAGGGAGGGATCCAATCTAGCTGAGGATGAAGGTGGCTTTTCAACTGGGTCCTGAACGATCTACAGATTTAGAAAGTAGAAGGGAATTTTAAGCAAAAGAATAAACCTAAGCAATGGCACATCCAGACACTTGCGAATCCTATTTCCTGATTAGGATCAGGGTGCTTTATTGTGGGAGATGGGACTGGAAAAGTTCGGCTAAGGCAAGAGAGTGAGAGACTCAGGCACAGGCTAAGGAGATGGAACAGGTGTATGAGGCACGAGGCATCTGGTCCCGGCTCCTCCCACAACTATGAGGGTCTAAAAATCCTCACCCCGTAGCACTCTTGGGTGACTCAGCTTCCCTGCCTGATGCAAAGGACATGGGCTGTAGAGAGCAGAAGGAGACATGGAAGATGGATACACCAGTTTCCGTAGTACTTATAAAAGAAGATCTAGGAGTGAGTTGATAAAAACACCTGAGCAAGAGGGCTGGCAATGGAATTGGGAAAAAAAAAAAAAAGAAAAAAAGAACAACTGCAAAGACACTTGGAAGGTCAATGGGTGGGCACAGCAACCACTGGCTGGCCACGGCAAAGGAGACATCCAAGATGGCCCCGACGGTTCTACCCTCAGTGACTGATGATGCCACTGAGAGAACTGGTAAAATCAGGAGTTCCAGGGAGGAGTTTCGTCTTAGTCACCCCCTATCTCAGAAATGCTAGTGTTGACAAGATAAAACTTGCTGGAAAAAAACAGGGATAGACCCAGGAGTCCTCCACAGTTGGAGCGCCAAAATGGTAAGAGTAGATAAAACAGCTGAAGAAAAGAAGCACTATGTACAAAACTTAGAAAAAGGACTGCATTTGGAAGATGAAAGGGTAAGAGTCATGTAGAAAGGAGACAGATAAGACCCAACCAAGAGCACAGAAAGATATTCAAAATGGCACACTGTCAATGAGTGAAGCAGTGAGTCTTAGGAAGAATGAGGTAGTTAATCGTGATGATAATTGTGACAATAAGACTAATAACAGCAACAAACATTAACGGTTTACTGGTGAAAAGCCAAGTACTTCCCCTGCTCTATCTCAGTGAATCCCCCAGCATCTTCAGAGACGTGTTGTTCCCCCTCGCCCACCCCACTTCACAGATGAAGAAACCAAGGCTGAAACAGGTTTAAGTGACTAACCTCAGTTTACACCCACAGGGAAAGCAGAGCCCGTCCTTCAATCGGGGTCGTCTACACTATCCTGCCTCCTCTCATTAACAGATGAAGGGGGAGAAAAAGCCCAGGGACTTGGTGACCAGGAGACCATGGAGAGAAACATTTCAGTACAGATAGGGACACATTTGGAAAGGTTACAAAGTGACAGGATAGCAAAGAAGTCAAGAAAGCAAGTATAAAAACTGTACATGTGAGGTGGGAAGAGAATGTGTCGGGTAAGTAGCTCTAGGCAATAAAACTGCCTTCTCCCTTTTCTTAAATGGCCAGAAAAGTTTCAGAGTGAGAAGAGCGGAGTTTGGCAAACTACAGGCAATTCTGGGCCTGTTTTTTTTTTTTCCCCCAAAGTATATATATTTTATTACTTCAGGGTTTAAAAAAAAAATCCACATAGGAAAAAGGACTGGAAAGAAATAAATTAAGACCATGTGGGTGAGGGTGTGTCCAGGCTTGTTTTTATGAATAAAGTTTTATTGGAAGAGCCACCTCATTCACGTACATAGTGACTATGACGCACGTACACAGAAAAGATCTGCTGACTTCTGATGAAGAGAGTTTATGAGATGGAAAAGAACAGACTGAAAGCAAAGGGAGAGTACGGAGTCTTACAGAGGTCATTCCTAAAGGAAGACGTGAGCAGTTATGAGATGTCATTGTAATACCTTTAGTGCCATCTGGGAATGATGACTGGCTACACAACTGGCCAGAAGGTCTATTTTGTCTGTATTCAGATTTCTGGAAACTTTGAGAAGTTTCAATAAGAAGGAGATAAATCTCTCTTAAAGTGACTGAAACAATTAAAGTCTGAAAACTGCTAATCATAATGTCCTAAGAAATCCCCAAAGAGAAAAGGTGGCAATATACTTACTACATAATGACTCAAATAATTCAGACAGATGCCACTCACGCAGAATTAAACATGTGTACTACCACCCCTGTGTACCATTTCCTCTAGGTTGAGAAGACGAAACTTACTTTTAAGGATTAGCATTAAAGGTTGCTGCAGTAATTTTTTTGGATGGGCAAAATCCCCTGTGAATGAGGGGGAGAGTTGGAAGGATATTGTATTAAGACAAGCCTGCATTATGGCAGCTCATAAAGGAACCCGAGGCAAAGATGCAATGTAAGATTTTAGCACTCTCATTGCTTTTAATGTTCACCACTAAAACCAGGAAATAACAGTAAACCATAAAGTACTAAGCTAATATTAGTCCCTTGTAGGGGGAAAAAAACAGATTTTTCAGGCATGGGTAAGGGCAAACTTTTGTTTTCTTTTTCAAAACTCCCGGCTACCTCACCAATATTCATAATTAGTGTTTTTTTCTCAATATACATCGCTTTACTTTGTCTTTTACAAAGAATACACGGTCTTTGTATTCTTATTCAATGCCATAAAGGTTTCAAAGAATACTGTGAAGTATACGAGAATAAAACTCACTTAAATCACACCTCCTGAGATAACCCTCATGCACATCCTGGTGAAAACCCTTCAACAAACCTCTATGCAGACCTATGCAGTCTTCCAGATAATTTTACCTACTTGGAATATTATGAAGAGAGCGGTGCTCTCTTACCTGCTGCTCTTTTAAGAAAAAGCAACAGCAAAAAACTTAAAATGACATTTGCACAAGAAAACAGTGCAAACCATTAAAAAAAATGGTCTCAAATGGCAAACTTTGCCTACCAGTCACCCTGCTGAGATAAACACTTTTGGAAACCCGTTGCTTTTTAAGTTCTTCTGGTGGCTCCCATTTGAAACTTAAATAGTAGACTTACATTTGTATTTTTCTAAGTATATTATTTTAATTCCAGTATGGTTAACTATATTGGTACTTTTGATTTAAGAAGGAATGACAGAAAAGAAGTTGAGTCCATAAAATAAAAACTAAAAATTCAGCATACTTAACACTCCCACCCGCATTTCTCCCTCTTCAATTTCTAATTTTAGTTAGTATCAATACTTTTACATTAAGATTTCTAACATTCACTTTTTTTTAACGTAATAGTGAGGTTTTCCCTTCTTGTCTGAGTTGATATTAAAACTTTAAACCCAACTAAAATGCAGTTACAGAATTATGACTATGGGATCTCCACAGAAAGAAATGTAATCCCGTGACTTTTAATCCTGCAGCCCCCAGCAGACTGTCCAATTTTTAAAAGCTTTCCTTCAACTCTTGTGACTTCAAGGATTTCATTTCTGCTACAGGTTCTTATTTACACCTCATACTGCATACTCTCTTATTTTTCATCGTTACGCTAGAGAATTTCCTCAAAGAACTTTTTGTGCATATGGAATATCAGGGGTCAAATTTCTGAGCCCATGTCTGAACCCATTTTAATTCTCTCCTCGTATCTGCTTTATAAGTGGCTAGGAGTAGAATTCATGGTCCCAAATAAATAAATCCCCCTCTGAACTTTGATGACATCACCTCACTTGCTTCCAGTAATTGGGATGGATGCAAAGAAGCAGTTTTAGTTATCCTGTAAGATAGCCGCCCTTTGAGTCTCTCTGGTACGCTTTAAGATTTTAAAAGGCACAAAACCATCAGCAATTAAAAGCGCATTTTTAGCATTAGAATCAGCCTACATTTTCCTCACCCTACATCTTCCCCGCACTCTACTTCCCTTTGTCATCATCTTCAGAAACCAGTTTGTACTGTCCCACTGCGGATGATTCAGGGGACAGAGACCCTGTGCCCCTGCTCTGAAAAGTGGCCGCTGCGGGCGAGCCGGGGAGAGCGGTGCTCTCTTACCTGCTGCGTGGTGCTGGTGACAATGCCCTGCTGCAGGCGGTAGGCCTGCTCTTGCAGGTATTTTCGGGTCTCGTGATTCCGGAGCAGATAGTTTTCGATCTGAAAAGCAAGCACATAGATCTCTCAAGAACACACTTCGACTCAGCAGAGGGTGAAATAATAAGGGAAAGAGCCAGGTGCTGAACTTGAAACCAAAGCTCTGATTCACACTCCTGCCTGTGCCTTGACTCCATACAACACAGGAGTCGGGAAGCGGGCCATCACTGTGATGCACTCTTGGTGTGTGAGTTAGAGATGTAACCTGCAGATCATGGGAGTAATTGTGTGTGACTCGGTAGCTGACAAAGGTAAGCAAGTGTTTAAGTGCCCACGCGGCTGGAGATCCCATGCAGCGACTCCCTGCTTTCTTGCACATAATCACAATCTCTCCCTCATGAGTCTTTAACCACTCAACAGTTGCAAAGCTAAATAACTATCCCCAAGGTGTATGGATGGCACCCTCTGAAACTCTCAGCCTTTAGGAGGCAGAATCCACTGGCACCAAGAAAACTAAATATTTGAAGGGAAGAAAGGAGAAAATAGGTACAAAATTTGAAGGCCACAGGCTAGTACAACTCAAAGACATATACTAGTTTCATTAATTCATGAGGTTTTCATATTATCTCAACAACAGGACTGATTTTGCAAAAGTAGAGAAAATAAAACAGATTTCCACAGAAAATAAGAACATCTGAAGTTGCTTGAGAGTCTGTATTTTTACACACAATCTCCTATTAAAGGTTCAAACACACAAATGATGACTACATTAAAATGAAGTGTTTAAGAAGACTATGCAAGGGGTATACATTGAACAAGAACTGCAGGGTTAACTACTGGGACTGATGGACATGTATGAAGATGTCTGCAAAGAAGGATTTGAGATCAGTAATTGCACCATCTGGGTTTTTTTTTTTCCAGTTGTTGTTTTCATTTGTTTTTAATAATACCACTTAACCATTTGGCTTTTAATTTGCCACTGTTGTTCCCTGGTTAAGAACTTCTAATAACTGTGAGGCTCTCAGTATTATTACATTTTCATTTTAATTTTCCATATGCTAAAATGACTACTACTTAACACCAATTAGAGACAATTAAAATACAGACTGGAATTACTATCATCCCTGGAAACCATAAAGCAGAACAAAATGTACCTTTCTACTAAACATTAATGAAGGAATTATAAAAATGAAGAGATCACTGAAAAGAAACAAAGTGACACGTTAAGACCATGACATTTTACTACATTCATTTTCTCTTGCTACTTCCCAAAAAGTCATCTCTTCCCAAGGTGACATTACCATCGATGGAAAATGTTTTTGCCAAAAACAAAAACAAGATTCTTGCCTGAAATATAACAGGCCCACACTGTCACCCAGCTTTGGGTACTCTTGCTTTGTTATTTATCCTTTTACATTTGGTCTCCTTAAGCACTGTCTGGGAGCCAGTTGTGAGAGCAGCTTATACGAGAGGCTCGGCTCACATACGGGTCGTGCACCCAAGGCTGGCCCATGCATTTGCAGACCTTCCCAAGGGGCACCAATGATGCTGTACAGACTAAGCCTGGAGAGAAATCGTTTTAGAAAAAAAAAATATTCAGGGGCGCCTGGGTGGCTGTCATTAAGCATCTGCCTTCGGCTCAGGTTATGATTCCAGGGTCCTGGGATGGAGCACCGCATCAGGCTCCCTGCTCAGCGGGAAGCCTGCTTCACCCTCTCCCACTCCCCCTGCTTGTGTTCCCTCTCTTCCTGTCTCTCTCTGTCAAATAAATAAAATCTCAAAAAAAAAGGAAATATATTCAAAGCTCATTTCTAAAAGCCAGTGCAAGGGGAAGGAAGAATAACAACGAAAGTATTCACATCTTGGATTAGCAGGATAAACCTTCCTTCCCTGCACCTTTCCAGACCAGGGACAGAGACCCCGCCTACCACAGGCTGAGGATGGACAGCCCGACTGAGGCCAAATGGGAGGAAAAGGGACCAAAGTGGTATTACCATGTCTGCCAGGCCCCCTGGGCAGCAGTGACCGGGACAGCCACCCAGAGCCTATCAACACCTTCAGTGTCACTGCTGAAAACAGCAGCGGCATAAAAGGCAAAAAGACCTGCATTTCAGTGTAGGAATCTTACATTTAAAACAAAACAAAACTTCTAAAGATTGATTACAGGATCACAATGTTGTTCTTTAGTAGAGTAAAACTAAAGAGCATATTTCTTCCAGGGAATAGAGTTCTGTTAAAATGAAAACTTACTATACAAGAGTATAGTAAGTGTCATAGAAAAAAAAAACCCTGATAATGATCACTTTTAAAGTCACCAAATTTTCACTTAAGAAAACACAAATTTTACAATTAACATACGTGCAGATGAGGCATTTCTTTGGTTTCTTCTTTTATTTTCCCCTCTTTTTCTGCTTTCTCTGGTTTTAAGGACCGTATATGATTACACTTTTCTCTCCTTCCTTAGTATATTAACTGCACTTCTTTTAAAATTATTTTAGTGGTTGCCCTAGCATTTGCAATACGCAACCATTTCAAGTCCACTGTACCAATCTGCAAATAGTGCAGGTTCCCTGTAATACGGTATCATCAACTTCTCCCTCTCCTCATAACACTGCTATCTTTGCATGTTTTGATTTCTCCTTTACTTTTTAAGATTTATTTATTTATTTGAGAGAGAGAGAGTGGGGGGCGGGGAAGGGAGAGGCAGACGGAGAAGGAGAGAGAGAGTCTCAATCAGACTCTGTGCTGAGCACGGAGCCCGATGCAGGGCTCGACCTCACGACCCTGAGATCGTGACCTGCACTGAAATCAAGAGTCAGACACTCAAATGACTGCACCACCCGGGCACCGTCTCCCTTAATTCTGAAGAAAAGATTTTGCTAGATACAGAATTCTAGGCTGCTAGGTCTTTTTCTTTTGACACTTTAAATATTCCACTCCACTTTCTTCTTGCTTGTGTGATTTCTGACCCAAAGTCAGCTATAATTCTTATCCTTATTTCTCAATATGTAAGGTGGTCCCCCCATCCCGACCTTCTTTCAAGAATTTTTTTTTGTCTTCGGTTTTCTGCAGTTTAAATATGATATGCCCCCATGTAGGTTTTTTGGGGTATTTATCCTACTTGGTGTTCTCTGCGATTCCTAAATCTGTGGTTTGGTATCTATCATTAAATTTGGAAAATTCTCAGTCATTATTATTTCAACTATTTCTTCTGTTCCCTTGTCTTTCTTCTCTGGCATTCCCACTGTATGGATGCTCTGTATTTTGTAACTGTCCCACAGTTTGGGGATATTCTGTTCTGGTTTTGCCCTCCATTCCTTTTTTTCTCTTTGCTTTTCAGTGGGAAGTTTCCATTGACCTACCTTCAGGCTCAATGTTTCTTTCCTGAGCTGTGTCCAGCCCACTGACAAGATCATAAAAGGCATTTTTCATTTCTGTTAGTGTTTCTGACCTCTAGATTTTCCTTTTGATTTTTTTCTTAGAGTTTCTCTCTGCTTACATTACCCATCTGTTCTTGCATGGGTTTTACTTTTTCCATGATAGCCCTTAATATACTAATCAGTTATTTTAAATTCTGTCTGATAATTCCAAATTCTGTGTCATATCTGAGTCTGGTTCTGATGTTTGCTTTATCTCTTCATAATGTGTTTTTTTTTCCTTGCCTTTTAGCATGTCTTAAAATTTTTTTATTTTTGTCATTGTCGTTGACTGGGTCTGATGTATCTGGTAATACAAACTGAGGTGATCAGGCTTTTAATGTGCAATTTCATGTTAATCTGGCTAGAAGCTGGGTTATGCCGAACACTTTGAAAGTAAAAAGACTTTAACTTCTTCCCATGTCCTTGTTTTTATCTCCCTGGTTGCTTTGGGGTTTCCCTAGAAATCCCTTCTTAAATAGAGTGTCTTACAGCTTTGCTCATTTGTAATCCACTGTTACAACACTTGATGTGCTGGTTAGGTGTTAGGGAAGGGAATAATTCTATAATCTTATGATTAAATTTAGGTTTGATTTAGTGGGCCTGAGTCCCTGGGCTGTGACCTGCCAAAGTATTTCTTGGCCTTTTCTTTTTTTTCTTTCTTCCCTTCCGTGAAACAGGAAGGCTGGGATTGTCTGTCTTTCGCTAGATCAGATAAGGCTCCGATAGAGCAGTTTCTCTTGAGTGTATGCATCTGTTACAAACAAAGGAATGTTCTAGGTAGATTTCAAAATGGCTACTTTTCCCCTTCCCCCTACCAGAAACATGACAGGATTTTTCTCCAGTCTTTCCTGTGATGACCTGGTGGGGTTCTAGGAGGTAAAGAACATGAAGGGATCAGGACCTCACTAAGATTGGGCCCCTGGAGTTTTTAACTTTTTTTTTTTTTAAGATTTTATTTACATTTTTGAGCAATAGAGTGTGCAAGCACGAGTGGGGTGAGAGGCAGAGCGAGAAGCAGGCTCCCCGCTGAGCAGGGAGCCCAACTCAGGGCTCAATCCCCGGACTCCGGGATCATGACCCGAGGAGAAGGCAGATGCTTAACTGACTGAGCCACCCAGGTGCGCCTAGGAGTTTTTAACTCTTAAACTAGTCCACACTAAGCCTCCAGCAACTCCTCAATTGCCGGTTAAGCATTCCTCTGAGTTACTGACCCCATTAGCTTCTGCCCCTGGTAAGCCGATCTTGGCTTTGATTCACTGTGATTCTCTGAATTCCCACATGTCCAGTTTCCAGGGTGGCGGTCTACTTTGCTTTTGCCTCAATTCTTTGACGGATCTGAGAAGAGTCACCAATTTTCTTCTGTTCAGCTTTTTTCTTGTTGTGAAGATGGGAGTGATGAGTGCCAAACTCTTGACCTGTCAGATTTAAACCCAGAAACCTGGTGTCTCTAGGATATGTCTTCTGTTACAAGTTGCTAGTCTCCTTTGGGAAACTATAAAGAGGTCTAACATTTTTATGTTGCTTTGTGGTTTACAAACTTTTTTCCACATATACTAACTGGTTTGGTCCCTGGCACCACAGTCAAATTACTTGGCCGTCCTGCCCTTCAGTTTTCTTATGTGCAAAATGGGGATATAGCAAACCTATCTCATGGATTTATTTTATAGATTATCAGTGTTAATTTATGTAAAGCATTTATAATAGTGTCAGGCACCCAGCATGAACTGTATGTTAAATGTCAGCTAAACATAGCTCCTGTCTAGCTGTGTGTTTTATATAGATGAAGAAACCAAAGTTCAGAAAAATTAAGTAACTTATGTAAATGACAAAGCTGAAAAGAGTTTGATTTAGTCAGATCTTTTTTTTTTTTTTTTAAGATTTTTTTTATTTTCTGACAGAGAGAGAGAGGACAGGCAGGGGGAGCAGCAGAGGGAGAGGGAAAAGCAGGCTCCCCACTGAGCAGGGAGCCCGATGCGGGGCTCGATCCCAGGACCCCGGGATCATGACCTGAGCTGAAGGAAGATGCTTAACCGACTGAGCCACCCAGGCGCCCCTAGTCAGATCTTCTGAATACAAATCTTGGATGATTTCTGTTGCCACATCACAGCTTTCCCTCCCCCCACCCTACCTTATTCCCTTTTATTCAATGAAGTCTAAGGAGTATCCAAGCATGTATGGCAGGCACTGTACTAGCTGCTGAACATCTAAAAAGATGAAAAATACATAGGTTCTGCCTTCAAGGAGTTCATAGTCACTGAGAGAAACAAATATATGGAGTCAGGTAACGTAAAGGATGTCACAAGGCCAGTGACAGAGACAAGCGCAGGAAATTCTGAGAAGACCCCCTACACAGAGGAGGAAAGAGGCTCTGAAAAGTTTCCAGATGAGCTGACACTTGCCTTCAACCTTGACAGACACACGTGGTAGGTACTGGGGAAAGCATGAGTATCCTCTGGATCAGAGCAGTGATTCCCAATTTTGCAGCCACCAGAAGAGCTTGTAAAAACAGACTGCTGAATCCCACCATTTCTGAGACCCAAGAATTTGCAACTCTAACAAGTTCCCTGAAGTAGAGCAGGGCAAAGAGGCAGGGTTGGTAAGAGATGAAGGAGGCAGTGGATAGGAGGCGGATCCTGGGCACAATTTTACGCCAGTTCAAGGAGAGGAGGTTCTACTCTAAAAGCCACTAAGGGGCAGGGATGGAATGGGGAGAGGTGGGCTGAAGAGGTTAGTCTGCTCAAATCTGCTGTGAAAGAAGATGGCTCTTTTTGACTGCAACCAAGAAAACAACACAAATCCTGCTGAGAAGTGATGAGGCTTGAACAAAGGCATCTGTGATAGGAAGAGAGGGGAAGAGAGCTAAGGAAGAGGTTTATGCTGTAGATTCTGTAAACCTGATGATGGCATGGCTATGGAAGACGTGGGAAAGAAAAGTCAAGCGTGGGAAGCTGGCTGGTACCACCAGATGGGCGAACGAAGAGGGAGGGAAGGTTTCAAAGATGTCCCAGCCACCCCCATAGTAAAGGTGGAGTAGGTTTCTCCAGATGGGAAATCCTTGAGCATACCTAAAAATCGAAAAAGGTAACCATAGCCATAGGAAGAGAAGGATGGAGATGTGGCAAAGCGAGAGAATGCCTCTCAGGGCAAGTTTCCAGCCCAGATGGAGACACTGGGGTCACGGGCACCAGGGATGGCTCGACTTCGAAGGGGGAGATCCCCATCATCCTCTGGGGTTGTCAGAAAGGAGGTGGGAATGGGTGTGGAATTAGACACATCTATAAACAAAGATGGTACAAGGAGATCTCATCCATATCCTAAATTTCTTAACAAGAAAAGAAGGGAAGTGGGGCGCCTGGGTGGTTCAGTCGGTTAAGAGCCCAACTCAATTTTGACTCAGGGCATGTTCTCAGAGTCCAGAGATCGAACCTGTGTAGGGCTCCATGCTCAGCACACTCAGCAGGGAGTCTGCTTGAGATTCTCTCTCTCCCTCTCCCTCTGACCTCCCTCCTGTTCTCTCTCTCTCAAATAAATAAATCTTAAAAAAAAAAAAGAAAGAAAAGGAAGGGTCTAGCTGCTGAGGTTAAAGGTTGTGCTAGCTGACATTCAGTTCCACAGTCTCTGAAGGATGAACAAGAGGCTCTCTCTGGCTAAGTACTAGAATGCTGATGGTGTAAGAATGTTATTCCACTTAAACTTCATGACAAATTTTCTTCTTCTTTTTTTAAACAACATTACTTATTTATTTGACAGAGAGAGAGAGCACAAGCAGGGGGGAGGGGCAGAGGGAGAAGCAGACTCCACGCTGAGCAGGGAGCCCGATGCAGGACTAAATCCGGACCTGAGATCATGACCTGAGCCGAAGGCAGACACTTAAATTGACTGAGTCACCCAGGTGCCCCAGCTTTCGTCTTTCTTATGTTATTCCTTCCCCAGCCATACATTATGCCAATTGTGATCACAAGAATACAAACGCACGTGAAAGAAAGCTTTGGGAAACACAAAGTACTGTTCGTATGTTCAAAATTATTACTAACAAAACTCGATTCAAACGTGAATTTATGATGAAACTATTGATTCTCTGATACCTTTTGCAGAGCCTCTTCTGTTTTTTCAGGGTTTGTTTTTAGGGCTTGAGAAGCATCATACATAGGGATCGGCATAAATCTCAATGTATAGTTCCTAGAAAAAGGAGAAGGTAATGTTTATTTAAAAAATAACATCCTACTACCTCTATTCAGCACTCTTTTTTAAAATCCAGACAGCTGCCAGTGTGTCTTAGAAAATTCGAAACTCACAGCCTATCTTCGAGCCCTGGGTTACAGGTCTGCTTTCCCCAGTGCACATGAGCGCAGCACCCGGGCACCCGCGGCCACCCATGCTGGCTTCTAACGGCGACACGCCTGGAGGGCATCTGGTTTTGTTGTTTTCAAACCCAGATTTTCAAACTGGGGCCGGAAAGCTGACCCGAGAGAAAGGCAAGGAGGGAAGTCCAGCATCCGCCTGCTACTTGGGTTTCAGTCACCAATGGAGCCCCAACAGTGACTATGTGTGACAGCCAGGCCCAAGCCCAGAAAATGAAACCAAAACATCTGCTTGCAAGGCAAGGACGGGGGCATCCACAAAAACAGTTTGTTCAGGCTCTGCGCCCCTTTCAACAAGGAGGCCCCAGAGTAGCCACTGTCTTGAGAAAAGCTGCTTCACAGGGGCTTCCTGCCTGGCTCAGCACCTTGACCTCTGCAGGTCCCCGGGGCCCGCTCTCACACACAGCCCACGTCCACGCCGCTCTCAGCTCCCAGTGAAGCAACTGGTGGAAAACTGTGTCCTCGTATGATCTCCCTGCTGCCAACCAGCTGGTGAGACACAGGAGGGCAGGGGGGAGTCATCTTTGCATGAGGAAAACAGCTCGGAACTCTGGAAGTGCGCCCTGGCCTCAGACCCCGCCCCTGGCACCTGCTCCAGACCACACACTCGCCCTGGAGACAGCTCCTCTCTCCCACCCCAAACCCATCTGCCCTTTGTTACCAAATGGCACTCAGGAAGATTGACCTTCTGAGCCACGTGGTGACAAGTGGAGTCCCCTAGCGCACTGGGATCCCACAGTTGGTTGCCTTGTAAACACTAAGCAACACTCACGGTGTGATTCTTGTGGAAGAGTAAATTAACAACTCATTCCCAAATAAGGTACTAAGCATGAAGGATGACTAAAAAAAGAAGTAACCATCTTAATAATAGCAGTCTTCTGTATGGGGGTTATCTAATGGGGAAAAAAAACATCTTTCAGTCCAACTTAAGGGTGGGTTTAACGCAAAATAATGTGCCAAGATAAAGGCTGTTATTTCCATGACTTCAAATTTTTACCTTGGCTTTGTTTTAGCAGAATTGTTTTGTTTGGTTTCAGAGGGGCCAGCCAACTGAAATGAAGAGACAATGCATCTATTTTGCAGCCCTGAGGATCTTCCTTGGCCTCGTCCAACGATGATCATGCTGCAGACCAGCATACTTTATTTAAACCAAATGTGACTTTGGGCCACTGGCATCATGGAGCACGGCATACAGAACAGACTGTAAGTCAGGGAGCCCTACCATCAATCTGGAAATGTTGAGTACCAGTTGTGCAGGCTCTTGGGCTTCCCACAAAGACCAGTGCGGGCTGCTAGCAGTCTACGGCAAAGGCAACTGTGCTGTTCACACCTAAATGTAGCTATTTGTAAATAAATGTTTCCATTCCAAGGTTTCCTGGCGCAAGGGGAGTAATTATAGGGGGAAGGCTCCAGGGAGAGGTGGAGCAAGCTGCCTTGTCCATATTTAGTGATGGTCTGTGGGGCTGCTATCATGAGCTCCTGACTAAATCAGAACTCTGGGATTTAGAACTGGAAGCCACTTAGGGATCTCACTCTATAAAAAAAGAATTAATCAGAAAGGTGCGATGCTTTGCTCAAGAGGATAGGCTTGCTGGTGACAGAGCCGGGGACTGAATGGAGGGCTCTTTTTTCCAGGCCTAGGGTTTGTTTTTGTTTTTTTTTAGTTTAACTCTTTTAAGGAGTTTTTAAGGTTTTTTTTTTATTATGTTATGTTAATCACCATACATTATATCATTAGTTTTTGATGTGGTGTTCCATGATTCATTGTTTTATCCATGATACCATGCTGGGCATGAGAGCTCCACCCAGGAGGCCTCATGCATGAAGGGAAATCTGGGAAAAAACACCAAAATGAGCATTCCCTGATCCCTTCCCCAGGGGACCAGCTTCTATGCTACTAGCCCTTTATTTCCCACCCACATTTTGTAACCTCTCATTTCTAATGCTGTAAACCTTCTTTGATCATCTCTGCCTTCAGAATACAGTATGAGGACTGAAGAGCTCAAAAAGAACCAAATTTCTAGAATTTCTTCCAGCCATCTTCATGTTATTGCCTCGTTTTGTTTACCAGGAAAGTAAATTCGACAATAAACAATAATTGCAGGCTTTAGTTACTATGGTAATAAATAATAAAGAAGCCTTTGACAGCAATAAGTTAGCCTGCCGTCCATCGATTTCAGGTTTATTGTCTGGAGCTCAGCTTTCTTCTCTCCACTATATTCTAAGTTGTCACAATTGGCAAAAAAGACAAGACCCGATGGAAAGAGAATGTGAAACCACAAGGAAAAGCCAGGTGACCATCATGTGGCCCCTCCACCATGATCTCATTTAATCCTCATGACGATGGTGCATCTCTGCCTCATGGACAGACTAAGAAACTCACGCCAGAACAACGTCCACGTTTTCCCGGGTCCCATGGCTGGGGAGCATTGGCTAACTCAGACCCAGATCTTCTGGATCCAAATTCATTGCTACCTCCATCACACCATAGGTAACACAGACACCATTGGTTTCTTTGTATTCTCCCAGACAGAAGTCCCAATTAAAACTTACTTTTCCATAGCAACAGCTATATCCTGAAAGCCTTGTGCGGTAATGTTGTTCTTGTCCCATATGACAGTCCTGTCGGAAAACCAAGTCACATAAATGATCAGACATTTAGGGATCGAGGAAATGATTCTCCTACTGAAAATGAATCTCTTGTAGACCACATCATCTAGGTATTTTTGCATGATAGGCAAGGAATTACATCAACTTAGATACAGCAAGGATGAGCATGTCCTCCAACATTACATTCTTAACCCATTTACTGCTCATATAAGTACCAAAAAAACACAATAAAAGCCACAGCATACTCATTAACTTGCCATGATGTTACCTGATGCTTTGCAGCCAGGAAACTCTGAAACCTAATTTCTCTGATATTCTCCAAATAGTATTCTAGTACTCATGTCTGAAGCTAGAGCTGCTTATAAAAGATGCTAAAAATCCCTTGTCCAGCACAAAGAAGTTCGGGTCCTGAGACTTTTGTCCATCCTAAGTAACTAAAAGGAGTCTGTCTTCTGTTTTCATCATTGCCCTGACATGGTATGATCAGCCAACCCAGAAAGTTCTCACTCTGCTGGTAAACCCTTGGTTTCCATAAATAGATGTTGTTTACTTTTTAAACACAATCTATTTTGGAAGAAAAGTACTATTTCACTTTCAGAATGTGAGCACTTCAGAGGTATTTTGGTGTCTGTTGATTCACCTGCCACATGAAGCAGTTTTTATTTGTCTGATCCAAGAATCACACCTCTAATGGCTTTCCCTTCTTGATCTCAAGGACTTTCTTTACATACACTCTGACCTTCAGAGAAATTACTGCAGTTTTTGGCTTCAGTGTAGACAGAAAGTTCAGGAGGGCAAGGGAAGTATCCAGAAACATCAGGAAAGAGCCCCTTGAAGAGCAATGTGAATTAAATATTCGTTTACCAGACTGCTGGACTCGGGAGCAACTGGATCTCTCCAAAGGATGGATGGTAATGTGGTCCTTAATAACAGTGGTTACCAAGTAGCCAGTCCTTAAGAAAAGCCACACTTGGGAAACTCTACAAGTGGTTGAAAACCACTACACAGAATAGTTAGCACCCAGCATGAACTTGCCTTTAACCAAGGCACCTCCTGCGTCCCTAGGGTTTTAAGTCTTTATATCGGCAGCAGTGGGGGAGGGGAGGTGACGGGCTCACAGCCAAGGACAGGGAAGGCCCTCGTGTTGGACCTTCCGTCTTCCTGGCTCTGCTCACTGCCCCTCCCCTCACAGCTGCCAACACCGTGAAACAGGACGCTGCCCAGTTCTCACTTGGGTTTTATACCACAGTGGAAATCTGTAAGACAACAGCTCGCAGGAATCACAATGTCTAACTTTGGGACGCCCCCTGCCATCCCCAGGATATTTTGACAAAAGACTTGAAACGGTCGCCGGCTCTCCAATGCTGGGGGGCCAGAATCTCTTCCAGAGCTTTCTAGGGCCCTCCTTAGGGCGAGCATCCTCGTCTCGGGGCCAAGTGCCTGACCCGCGTACCTGAGCTTGGTGTTGATCTGCAGGGCTTTGGCCAGCATCTTCGCTCCCATGTCCCCCATCCCGTTCCCACTGATGTCCACTTTGGTCAGAGAGGTGTTGCTTCCCAGGGCATTGATGAGGATGGTGACCTCGGTCTTGAGTTTTGAGTCGGCCAGGGACAAAGACTGCAGGGGCTGAGGAGGGAACAAGGGGCAGCAAGCAGTGACACGGTCTGGTGGAAGCAGCCTCCGCCCTCCATGACCCGTTTCATGGGGAATCACCAGGGAGGTACCCGCTGCACACATCCCGAGCGTCTCGTTTTGAAACTCTGGCTCAAAGACGCTGAGGAATGGGACCTGAAGGTTCTGGATACACATGGAGAGCTTGGGTTTCAGTGCTGAACACTGGCCACCGCTCTCCTAAGGGAAGTGTGGAAGGACACCTGGAGTGGCAGTTGCCAGCTCTTTTAAAGTGGAGGACAGGAAGGGGCGCCTGGGGGGCTCAGTCGTTAAGCGTCTGCCTTCGGCTCAGGTCGTGGTCCCAGGGTCCTGGGATCGAGCCCCACATCGGGCTCCCTGCTCGGCGGGAGGCCTGCTTCTCCCTCTCCCACTCCCCCTGCTTGTGTTCCCTCTCTCGCTGTGTCTCTCTCTGTCGAATAAATTTTAAAAAAATCTTTTAAAAAAAAGTGCAGGACAGGAAGAAATAAATAAGAAGAGCACATGAAATTTCCGAGCTTCTGTACGGCTACGCTTTCCTTTTTACCTTCTATTTTTATGCAAGGTGAAATGACATCTTAAAATACTAGCAGAGGACAAATGCAAAATAAAAGCCAGCCAAGACTAGTAATAGCTGACATTTACTGAACACATACTATCCTTAACCACCATTCCAGCTTTTTTTATGTATTAATCATAGAATCCCCCAACACTTACGTGTTATATACTCGGTATTGTTATCCCCATCTCCCAAATGAGACACAGGCTAAGTGACTCAACCGAGATCACACAGTTAGAAAGTCACAGAACGGAATGGATTTTGTGCTCTGGGCCCCTCGTAGCTTATCCTTGATCCTTTTGATGGTCGTCCTCTGTTTTATCTTAGAAGTACTAATCAGAACACATGTAATTTCTTAAAAAAGAGAAAACGTCAAACGTCTGTGACTTTTTTATTGCCGTAAGCTGGATGGTGAATCCAAACCAGCTCGCTTGCTGTCCATTTCAGCCAGGGACTGTAGACCACGTGGCCCAGAAGCAGGTTCTGTCTGGACCCAAAACACTTGTTTATGCCTCCAGACCAGCCCCGTAGGCATCTGAATTGGCAATTCCTGAGTTCAGCCAGAACGGAATGAATGAAGCAGGGAGAATTCTAGAACCTGAACCAATGTGGCCCCGACCGTCAGAACTCAGTCTTCCCTGGGGGACCTGGATGTCTTCCGGGTTGCTTCAGGTGGTCTTGAGTGGCCCAGCCATACTACACAGTTCTAGATTCTTATTCCATAAACAGGCTGACATTACAGGGAGGGGGACATGGCAGCTAGGGCCATCTATGCTCCACCAGGGCCCACGGGATCCGGGCTCTCAAGATGTACCTGGAGACGCTGCGTGGCGTCTGTCTGTACCCACTCAACCACCCGACGTTGATTTGTTCAAGGTTCATCTGCCAAAAGGCTGCAGGAGGTGGGATGGGGGCACCAATGGCTTCAAGACTCAGTTACCCACAAGCAGCATTATGCATGTGACTATAGTTTCACCAAGTGACCACGCTTACTATCCTTACTGTCCAAATTTGGCCATGCTTTCTAAACCTAATACAGCTACGGTAAAATCAAAAGGTAATCTGTTAACTTGAATCACATTTCTAAAATGAAACGGCATGGTAAGTGCTAAGGCACCGAATACCAGAAAGCCTGCATATGTTTAGACGCAGGCAGCTTTAGGGAGGTTGCGTTAATGTTAAAATCCCACACTCAAGGAAATGGAAAAAAAACTTAACTAAAAGGCTCCAGCCTCGGGAACCTTAATGTTTTAAATGAAAACAAATGCAAGGTTCCTTTAATAAAAAGCTCTAATCACATCTCTCATCATTTCAATAATCTCTATTCAACTACTACAAAAAATGATATATTACGGCTTCTTCCTCATTCTGGAAAGCTGCCAAGTCTCCAAGCTAGCAAGCAGGGATTCCAGTACTATATTCAAACTCAAATACACCCCAGTTAACACTTAAACATAATAGGTAGGGTCATTAATGCAAACAGAAGAGCCTGAATTGCATGCATATTTATAAGGTCATCCCTTCTTGATTTGTTGAACTTCCATGCAATATTACTATTTGAAATCTTACTATTTCTTTTCACAGCTGAACATGCTTAATCTGAGAATCTGTCTCCTTGCTACAGGCACTCCCAGGAGAAATATGTTCCCTTCCACTGGTTACAACATGGGTTTGTGTGTAATACTTCAAAACAAGATTCCCTGGCATCTCGGCCCCTCCGCGTTACTGTCCCAGGGCTCCAGTCACAACGGCCTGTCAAACACGGTCTGTAGTTGAAAGTGACATTGGAGCCCCGGGCATCTAGGTTTTCCAACCAAATACAACGTGCAACACGAGGCGAAGACAGTATTCCACGGGCCGTCAAAGGACAGGCTCTATAAATACAAGGTCAAAACGTACAAAGCAAGAGATGATTTTATATATGTAGAAACCTTTAAAAAATAAAATAAAAAGACAGCCCAATTGTGTCAGTTATTGGTGGAATTTTTAGAGTCGCAAGACTCAGCTCCTAATCATTCTGAATTGTTTTGCACATTACTAATTCAGAACTAGGAAAAAATAGAAGGTAATTGCTTTCTGAAAAAGCCACGTACTTTTCAGTGACATGAACATAAAGAGCTTTCTTTCCACTGTATATTATTAGCAGCAAACTTGTAACTTGACAGAATTCACATTTACATAGCAAACTTTCCCACCTGCAAATATGTTTTGAGGTGTGTTTTAAATATCAACATTGTTTTTAAGTGAGAGACTTTTGGAATTACAGAAACAAAAGACCCTCATGTAATAAGCAAAACATGAAATTTTTAAAATCTATTTTTCATAAAATGTAAATTTTCCTAAAATATGCACTAAGAAACAAGTATTTGGGGACGAATATCAAATGGGATTCTGCAATATAAGCTTCCTCAATCTCTTAAAACTGGGCCAAGACTGTGAAATCAGAAACTTAAAGCAGGGTGGTATAAAGTCAAATTAAATATGCAAAACCGTATCAATTCTGATTTATGCCCCTAATTTTAATAACCCAGTAAAAAAGTAACAAAACAAGGTGTTACCAAATGAGGACAGAGAGAAGTGCCCACATTCATTAAATAATAATGAGTTTCATTTCTAGTCCATAGGTTGGAAATTATATCCACACAACGAAGAGGCAGGAAAACCGAATTTTCTCGCACCCTCCAGGTTAGAGCCATATAGAGAGTGTGGGCAAGGAGAAGCAAGGAAAAGTTCCAGTCTCCACCTCTCCTCGCCCCTTAGCTTGCTCAGAAAAGTTAGCTTACAGTCCTAATAGAATTTGCTACTATCCTGTATGAACTCAAGAGGGAAAATGACACTTTTTTAAAAATGTGTCCTATCTCACATGATTCATAGAGGAAATCACTCTTATGACCTACAAAGTAGCTATCACAAAACATTAATAATGTGAGTCTTTGTCGTAGGAATACGTGTTGATTTGGGTTTTAGGAACTGTAAAAGCTGGTTGGTGGCCAAACAGGACTAAAATAAGTAATGGACAAACTTTTAAAGAGCATCAGTAAAATGTAAGGTACAAAATATTAAGATACACCGGGTTTAAGTTAAAGGAATTGACAGCAGAGGGCTTCTTGCTTTGTCCATAAAATATCTTTTTCTCAGGGCCCCTGGGTGGCAGAGTCAGTTAAGCATCCGACTCTTGGTTTTGGCTTAGGTCATGATCTCAGGGTCATGAGATCCAGTCCCGAATCCGGCTTCTCATTATGCGCAGAGTCTGCTTGAAATTCTCCCTCTCCCTCTGCCCCTCCTGTTCATGCTCTCTCTCTTTCTCTCTAAAATAAATCTTAAAAATATGTATCTTTTTTCTTTTTTCTAATGCACCTTAAAGGGCAGCAAAATAGGATACTATTTAAAATTAAATTTCTTTACCCAGAACCAAGTCTTGGCCAGGAGCAACTGAAGGGAATAAAACTAGAAGAAGGACACTAGAGCTCTAGAAGCAATTTAAGATGGGTGACCAACTTTCTTAGGCTTAGTAATGAGTTGAAATGAAGAGCGAGCAATTCTAAATACATTATTTAACTGTACTAAAGCATAAATATTTATTCCATTAAAAAAACAATAGAAATGGTATATATAGATAAAATTATCTGAAAGTGTAGCAACATTAACTCGGTAGAAACAATACTCACCGATTCTTCATCTTGAATCATCTGCACTAAGTTGTCCAACACAGGTGTCAGATTTCTAAAGAGATTTTAAAGATGTGGACAGGGGAATCAAATCAAAAGCTTTCACGAGGTTGCTTATTTTCATCATCATATAAAAAAAATTCAAAACTCTTACTTGGATTTCATATTATTAAAATTTTTGCCTAATGCCAGGTGTTGTATTGATCTGTTTTTACTGAGCCACACTATTAAGGTGGATAGGTCAGATTCTAAACCTGGAAAGAATCAGAGTAAGCAGATAATCAAAACACATGTGTATAAATAAATTCTCAGCCGGAACACAATTAAGCAAAGGTGACATGAACTTGGATGACTTTCTCTACCGTCCCGAGAGCCCTGGGATTCTAATCTTTCATTTTCAAAGGAATTTTTTGCTCTCTTTTCATGTCCTATTATTTCACAGGGATAAATTCATTCTCTCAGCAAGGGACAGGGAAAGGAGGAGTCTCACCTCTGCCCACAATTGTGTAAGATTCTAACATCCCGTCTGCTGGTAGGTAACTTCAGCTGACTATGCGAACTAAACAGGCTCCAACTCTCATGCTACTGTAATTTGGCAGAAGTGAAGCTAATGAAACAAGTTTCTGAGTAAATAAACAAGGATTTTATTTTATTATCACCAAGAATGCAAAAGGTCAGATCAAGATCGTTATTGATGTTCTGATGATGTTTTTTTTTTAACTGACTTCTTTTCTTGCATTTTTGGCCATGGCATCAACTTAGCAAGACTTTTGGTATCGACTTATTCCATAAATAAATTCTGTTAAACTTAACAGCCCTATTGGTCAAGAAGTGAGATAACACATTCATTAAGGTGTTGTCTAGGTTGAGCTTTCTATTTTCCCCTTACTAACTTGCTTCAGATAATATTTCTGTTTCTTTTCTGGTTTCTGACTTACCATTATCAGAGATATCTAAGCTGGTGATGTTGTGGATTTCGGCGATGCAGCCTTCTAATACTTGTGCACCTCCTGATCTCAGCTGGAGAAACACAAACCACATACAAGGTGAAGCAGTCACCTACTGGACGTGGAACCAAAAAAAATTAAAAACAGAAGATACAGTCTCCAACTTGGTGCCAAAGAACAACTGAACTCTTATCAACTCCATAGCTACCATCAGTGGTAAAGAGCCAATCACTAGTCATTGCTACTGTTTCCCATAGCACCGAACTCTGGAAATCACTAGAAAAAGAAACAGAAGATGGAGACCATACTCTGTGTCAGCATGGGGAACCAGCCTCTACCAGCCCACAAGAACTGTCTTCATTTCTGACTTTTGGGAATCTAACAATTCCCTTTTATACATGGGAAACTGATATGGATTTTGTTTGAGTATTCCAGATTTCAGGGTAGAACTCCACCAAGTAGTAGCAAAACAATCAAAGGAGACAATGAAGATGAAGTGTTGTTGACTGTCATCCACTTCGTGAAGGACCCAGCCCGCCTTCCCACCGAAACGGTGTGCAGTCTCACGATTACAAAGTAAACACTGAAAGGTGATTATAAAATGATTTGTATAAACTCATCGAGCCACAGAAGAAAAAGATTTTAGATCAATTTAAAATATTATTATGGTTGCCTTATAGCAAAACTAATTCTCACTTCATGACCTCATTAATTTAAAGAGACAGGCATCCTATAAGACTCAATACTTTGCATCTTTTCCCACAAAACCAAAAGCATATCTACAGAGGTCAGAATATCTTTTTATTCTCCACTCAGCAACTATTTGAGTTCCTACCATATGTAAAGGATTATAAAGGATGCAAATTTCCTGAGCTATGGCCTCTTTGCCCGGCTAACTTACTATTTAATAAGGGAAAGAAACTATCATTTATTGGGAACCTATTATGTACTAAGGGAACATAGTGCTTCTCTATTGATGTAAGAAAATTAAAATGTATCTAAATTTCTATACCACGTGTAAAATGCAAAATGCTACTCCCTAGAACTTGTGCAAGTTTTGATGTAAGACTTTAAAGAATCCTTATTTCACTATTTTAGATGCAATATTTTCATGGTACTTGGAGCCCAAACCTGCCAATTCCCCTGGCTCCTTGGGTGTCAAGCAGTTTTGGGATTGCTCTTTATTCAGGAGTATTTCAGTTGAGGTATTTAAATTCAGCCTTCCCTACTTTCTACGGTGACAGCAGATTACTCTGGGGGACCCGAAGTAAACTCTAAAGGGGAATATCACACAGAGACACACCTGCCCAGGAGGCTGGTCTACACACTCCAGGGAAACCAAGAACAATGAACCCCACAGTTGAGGGGCTTATAACCCAATGTGTGGAGCAATTGCCAAGAATCAGCAGGTATTTTACTACATGTGGTTGTTATTCCCAGGCACTCTCGAGCCTACCCACATGTCCCGAGCCCAGCTTCATCACATCATCTCTACACTCGCCCTGGCAGATGCTACTCAAAGTGTGGTCCACGGATAGGTGGCAGTCTGCAAAGTTTGCTACTGGTCTTAGGTAAAATAAGTACAGAAATTGACTATAAATATTTTAGAAATCTTAGCAATAATCATTTTAGGTTTGTTGCATCTAATAACAAAAAAATGAGGGTTTGTATTTTTTATGTCTTTTTAAATCTCTTTTTTATATATTTTTATTGTATTTTTACAAAAGTACTGGTTTATGATAAAATGGAAATTAAAAAAAAAAATAACAACCAGGTTTTCACCACAAATAGTTTTGAGAAGCATGACTTCAGATCACAGCTTGTTAATACTCGAAGAAGTGAATGTACATTCAGACTACGTCAAAGTTAAAGCAAAAAATATTTCAGGCAAACACTTCGAAGAAATATAATTTGATATTCAGAGCATGAAAAAATGACACTTTTGAGAAGATAAACATAAGTGCCTAAGTCTCCACAATTTGATTATTTGCTGTTAGTGATGTCTCTGTTGAGTAGTAAAATTTCTACAAGAAAATCTCTACTTGTTAATATTATAAAGTACAGTAAAAATATTCCATTTACAGATATGGAAAATACAGGTGACATTTAAGTGCTCAATTCTGTTTATTTTACAAATACTCTTGACTGATAATATTTGTAGCATATACCCATAAAACTAACATTTTCCAATAGCTAAAAAACAATCAAATATATCCACAGACCCTAATTTGATTCATAAAGTACTTACACAGTGGCCAAGCTAAGGAAAGCCCAAGGAGAAAAAATGAAAACACGTTATCAGCAGTAAACAGAATAGAGAAGCTGAAGCCTTTATCAATATACCATGTAAAAAAGCAAGAGTCAGAAAAACACTTCCAACTAAAATCTGCTCCCCAAACCAAAATCAAAAATTTAAGAAAATAACTGATCCTCAGTTACCAAGAACATTCAATTGAATTCACAAGTTATTAGATGCCTAAAACTCCCCCAAAGCTAAAGCTTTCCCAAAACAGTAAAAGCTTTTCCATTACTGTAAATGAAAATCCTTTTAAATGAATTTGCATAATTAGAGGCTGTGTCTACATGTGTGCGTGTAAAACTGGTTTTTAAATTACCCTCATTTGGATCCCACACACTAGCCTTATTTAAAAGAAAGCAAGATCAAAGAGGAATCAATGTGACTGAATCACTGAATACTTTTTGAAAAGTTAAAAAATAAACTCACATTTCTTTCCACAGAGAAGTGAACTCTCACTCGAGAATGGTGGAACATTTCAGGTGTTACTCATAGTTCTAAGTGAATAGCTGCATCTAATACTCAAATAGCCATAATGGGGACAAGAGAAGCAAGGAAAACTAAAATCTAGACAGAACTTTTATTTGGAAAATTCATTTTCCTTTGGGGCACACCTGGGGGCTCAGTCAGTTGACCGTCTGACTCTTGATTTCAGCTCAGGTCAGGATCTCAGGGTCCAGGGATCGAGCCCCGTGTCAGGCTCCCCACTCAGTTGGGAGTCTGCTTCTCTCCCTCTCCTGCTCACCCCACGCTCGCGCTCTCTCTCCCTCTTAAATAAATAAAACCTTTAAAAAAAAATCATTCATTTTCTTTCTTCAAGATCACTTGCCATTTAAAAAGATGTGGCAAATATTACAGATTTAAAAATAAAATAACTCCCCAAATTATCACTGTTCTTCTACAGGGGTCCCAATTGCAATTAAAAAATATTTTTTATCCTGGGAAATTTTCTCGCCTAAAACTGTGAATAGCGTAGGTTTCTCCAAAGGACAAAAGTGGTTTGACAAGATCGGGTTCAAACTGTCCTCTTGCTAGCAGGATCTGACGCCAAAAGGAAATTCAGAACCTAAGAAACTAGATATAAACAGTCATTTTCTAGGTGCAAACAGTTGTGTGTTTTATATTGCTTCCAATATGCTTCCTGCTGTGACAACAGTTTCCGCTTTGCATCCCACTCGCAGGGGCCCAACGGGAAACTGATCCGTGGGGGGGTTCTACGGTTAGAACCCCCCCCCCCCACACACACACAGCACACCTGCCTTCGCACCTCAAAGCCGGGTGAAGCACTGTCAAGTCAGACGGAATTGCCTCAGAAGTTCCTATTCGCTTGCAGCAATGTCTACTCATTACAAATTTTAGTGTTCGGGGCTCCTCTTTCTACATATCATCAGAGCATCTTGCCATGAACTGTGGAATGAGGTGCAGGGAAGTTTCTCCTTAAAAGAATTAACTCTACACCCAGATCTACACCTAATTCTCAGCTGTGATTAGCCTTTGCGTCTCCTTTGAAGCCTCAGAGATTTTTCTCTCACTTGGAAGGAGAGTGAGGTGGAAGAATTCAGTTGCAGCACTTACCTACTCTCCTGAAGGAGGACTGTGAAAAAGAGTTCTCAACACAGGACAAAATGACAGACCCACGGCCTCCCTTCAGGTAGACAGGCACGTGGGGAGAATACATCCACATGCCAATTTCACTACTACCATATAAAACAGTTCTGAAATGCTTCTTTTGGAACTAACTTTGAGGGCAATGGAACGCATTTCTTTGAACATCCACACGGATGCTGAATCCTTACCATCCTTACCCTTTGAGAGTGAATTAGGATCAGCCACAGGCCATTCAGAGACAAGTTGGGCCATAGAGGGTGATACGGTTTTGTGTTCGAAATCAGGTATGACTATAAAATGGATGAGACTAATTCTTCTTGAAAGATTTAAAATAGCTTTGAAGGCAATTCCCAAAAATGTTTCAAAAAAGGCAGAACATATATATGGCTTCTAAGTAAAAATTTTTCAGACAGGCCATGCTGACCCATGCTGTGAACTCTGACATTCAAAGTAAGGCTTCACTGTAGTAATTCTCTCCCCTCCCAAATTACGGCCCGCATGCGCCGGGCTCGGCACGGTGCCAAATACCGTCCCACCAACTTAAAATCTCCATTCCACAGGTGAGAACCAAAGGCTGAAGGAAGGCAAGCCAAGTGGCTGAGCCAGGTTTCAGAGGGCGCCTTTCTGATTCCAAAGTACCCACCCTTTGCAGTGACCCCCTTTTGTCTCCCATGACTACTTGTAATCCTTTTCCTAGAGAGGTTTCCCCTTGTGGGTACTGAAAAGACCAAGGGAAAGAAGATGAACTGGTAACATATTTCAAGGGGGACACCTTAAGGAACGCAGGTGTTCTTTTTCTCTAAGTGGAGACGTTATGTATAAATGAAAGCTTAATTTCAGTACTTATTAACTTAGCCCTCACAGATCAGAAGACTGCAGCCTCAAATTTAGGATTTAGGTTTCCAAAGAACAATGAAGTTTGTATTGGAGGAAAGCAACTCCACAGTTTGTAAACACCAGCATGGTACTTTTATTTTTAATAGCATTAAGTATAAATCTCCGTTCTCATTCAAACTGATGAACGTGAAATGCCTCTCTCAAGGAAATACAGAAATACTCTGAGAACCACAGGGACAACTCACCGGGACAGGTGAGCATGAACAGTGAAGGAAGCAGCAATGCTAAAACCAAAAATCATTTGCTTAAACCAAGCTTCTTATGTAGACACTTAAAAAAAAAAAAAACACTCAACTATAGTTGACACACAGTGTTATATTTGTTTCAGGTGTATAATACAGTGACTCAACAATTCAATACATTAAATGCTCACAATGATAAGTGTGGTCACCATCTGACACCCTACAACGTTATTACAATACCATTGATCATAGCCCCTTTTCCATCTCTATAAACAATTCTGACTTGAAAGTTACTTTCCTCTCTCCTCCCAATAAACTCAACCACCATCTTAGATGATGGCCATTTATCTTCTGTAACACCCATACAAACCTGATTTTAAAATTAACCAGTGGCAAGTAGCTATTTTGTAAATAAAAGGAACTATTTACTTATAAATATACAAAGACTTCACGGTATTTCACGTTTGTTCTTTGCTGCCATGGCTGGGGTAGACTATTGTAGGAAAGGCATCATTAGGGGAGGATGAACCTGTTGAGTGCCCACATCAGAAACTGTCCAGTATTATACGTTCGACAGGTGACTCTTCTCAGGTCAGCCCCTCACCTCGTCAGTCACCCCTGTGGAAATGACTTCCAAGATGACCTGGTGTCAGGGAGAAGTTTCATCCCCACCACCACAGGTGGGGAAATTTAGCTAATCGTAAGGGAGCGTGAAGTGCTGAATTCTTGCATGATTTTGATTGGCATGCTCAGGGTAGAGGGGATTGTGTCTACTATGGCTAAAGAGAGAATGAACAGGAAAAAATAGACACATGCAGAATTTTAAACTTCCAAGTCGGCAAAAGAGTTTTTCTGAGAGCACTACCTAAACTCTGAAGTGTCAAATCATTAAAAGGGTTAGCAGTTAATACTCAAATGGCCAAGCATTCTACACAAACAATATCACAACCCCTAACACCTTTACCGGAGAGATTTACTCTATCGTGGAGAGGAGCAAAGTGAAACCTAGTTAGATTTGGACACCTGTCTGTAAGAAGAAAAATGTGATAAGACGCCTTAATTTAGAAAAATAATTTGGTGTTTCACCAATTTCCATGAGCAGCAATATAAGGTGACTTTATAAATGTGGCCCCTGGGACTGTGATTCAAGCATTAAGATGGTGGGAGAACATGGCACCAAGGTAGTCTGGAGGGTCCCCATCTCTCAGCAGTACCACTGCATCACAGAATCCATGAACGAATGGCCAAAAGGAAGTTGCAATTATCATCATCGTAATGGCCAACCCTACCATCAGAGAGCAATCATTTGATCTGGATTCCTGCCTTATAAGAAAAAAAATTATAAAGGAAAAGTCTAGGAGACATTGGGTGGAACCATATGAAATTGCCAACAGCCTGCCATTTCTGACCTATAAAAATGTCAATTTTATCAGTTCGCCAAATAGAACTGTCTTTTAAAGTTACTCCCAGTCGGATCACAAAGGAGTTTAAAGAACAAGCTACACAGTGATATAACACAGTCTTCTTTGGGCATATGGCACCTGACAACTTATTTGAGAAGAAAATGTCTAATCATACTTGATGTTCTAATAATTACCCACATAATTAATAACAATCAGGAAAGCATACTTTCATCATGACTCTGCCATTAGTAAGCCGGATTATTTCAGCTTCTTTAGAACTTGCTTTCTCCATCTGTAAGTATGGGCACCAGATGAGCACTTACGTCCCTTCCCATTGTGATCACAGAATTAAACGGAAGATGTTGTACTGAGAGCAGTCACTATATTTAATGAGGAAAGTAAAACATCTGGGTCATTCAGTAGTGTGAGTTAGTAGAGCAATCAAGTTTATACCAATTTGCTTTTTTTGATAGAATAACCCTTCCTATCCCCATTCTTCTTACTCCTGCCCCCAGACAAAAGTTTTTATTACTGCCAGGTCCCGTAAGAAAGTATCGGTAAGCAATTAATTCGTATTTCCAGACTTGGTTTCTGTTATATGATCTGTCTTTATAACTAAAAGAACACTGGGGGCGCCTGGGTGGCTCAGTCAGTTAAGTGTCCAATTCTTGATTTTGGCTCAGTTCATGATCTCAGGGTTGTGAGATCAAGTCCCACATTGGGCTCTGTGCTCAGCACAGAGTCTGCTTGAGATTCTCTTTCCCCCTCTCTCTGCCCCTCCAGTTGTGCTCTCTCTAAAATAAATAAATCTTATAAAAAAAAAAAAAAGAACGCTGATTTACACATGAAAATTTGACAGTGCACTTTTTTAGGGGTTTTGTGGATTTTGTTTTTTGTTCCTTTTGGCTTTTCTTTTTTCCAAACAAAATGACTAGTAAATCGCACACAGCTGGTATTAACCCCAGTTCAAAAAACAAAAAAAAAAAAAAAATCCTGCACTAACAATTTACATGGTATGATTTCAAACTTGTCAGTTTCTAGAACTTTCAAAGAGGTAAAGCATCAATCTTCAGTATTTAGTGTGAGGCTTGGTACCTGGCATTTTGTTAGGAGCTAAGGGAAACACAAAATGAGTAAGACACAAATAGTATCTTCCGGAAAGTTACAGCCTAGCAAGGAGAGCACACAGGTGCTAATCGAACAGTTGCGCAGGACACCCTATGGGTCACTGTCCAAATGCACGTCACCATCATTAAGTACCAGACAATCAGAAAAGAACAAGATCGCCAAGGGCTGAAGCAGTCAGTCAGGGGGGAAATTCTACAGACAGATAAACAACACGGTTGTTTATACCGCGCAAATAACCATGCAAATAAGCAAATAACCCTTACATGTCCCAGATGCCCCAGGAAGCGCTTTGCGAAGCACAGCTCCTCTCAACCCCATAGTGAGCCACTGGGAGAGGCACTAATGTTGCTGCATCTTGCAGATGCATACACTGAGATCTCGCAGTCTCGTCTAATTCACGCAGGACCACATAGCTAGTAAAGACCAAACTCGGATCGAAGCCCAGCAGTCTGATGCAGGCATGGAGGAGACGGGACTTGAGCTAGATCCTCGGAGAGGGGAGCCTTGGGGAAGAAGGACAATGGCAAGTGTGTGGCAGGAGGAGAGAAGAGTGGGCAGAAAGGCCCAGGAGCGGGAATGAAGGGACATCACCTCCAGCCCTGATAAGAAGGAACCACGCACGACGTGCCGAGTAAAGTCAGGCTCTGAAGGGGCCGTGTGGCTTGTACCTGGGTCTTTTCTTTCTGGTCTCCGCACAAACTGAAAGTCTCAAGACTAAAAGTTCAGGTACCCTCTAAAATGTAGAGGCTCTTAGTCTCAAATTATCTTGGTGTTCTTAGGAAGGGTCTGGAATTGCTGTAATTTTGAGAAGCATCTTAATTTTCCTGTTTTAAATCGAGACATTAAAAAATTAGGCGAATGACAAGACAGTCATTCTCTTGCACACACTCTGAATCCAAGTCAGGTTACACGCGTCTGTCCCCTGTGAGGGACACAGAACATTGCATTTTTCATAACGGTAAGGCTAGTCTATGGCTTTTGTATCTCAAGCCTTCATCATAAAATACTTAAGCAACTGGCGCTAAGAATGAATAAAAAAAAAAAAAAAAAACCCAAGTCATTAAAAACACACTTGAATGCTTTCTGAATGGCGTTCTGTGGCTGTTTGTAGATAAAACTTGCAAAATACAGAACCTCAGAAACTTCTATAAAATGTGTGTTTTTCTGCTTCATTTATACCCTCTGGATTCACAGCATCACAATTTCCGGGAAAGAGGCAAAGCAATTTTGAGGCTATCATAATCTCTCCCATCCTGCAGTCTGAACATGTTCTTACCTCACAGTTGCTGAGATCAAGAGAAACCCCCTTCAAGTTATGATTGCAAGCCAGGCCCAGCAACAGCGCTCTGAGGGGAGAAAACACACACATTAGACACAGATTCCATAGGCTGCACCAAAATATGTTCGCACGCTGAATAAAGCCCAGAAAAGGTCAAGCACCAAGCACCATGTCAGCTTTTAGAATGCCAACTGCATTTCTTCCTCTCAGACACAGTGAGAACTGACGCTGTAACATTCTTCTGTAAACCAACAGTACCCCTAACTGCACCCTGAAATTAAACGGTGTTCATCACAGATCAATGCCCACCTGCATCTGCTTGAGAACACCTTTAATATTGTTTAGAAAATTATTAGGCAATTGTTATTAGAGTAGCAAAATCACATTGGTTTTCCCTAAGGAATAGGTTAGGAGGGAGTCAGGCTCTGCTGTATCCAGGACCAGAAATTACCGTCTACGGAGAGAGTGTTTTGTTTTGTTCTTTTTTTTTTCCCCAGCATCTACAGCAGGAGGTAGGAAGACAAGAGCATGGGAGGTAAGGCCCAATTCCGGAGTCTGAGTCCAGGATCCTGCCTGTCTCTCCAGCTATGACAGGCTGGTCATGGGGCAAAGCACATCACCACCGTGAAGAGGAATGTTCTGGTCTGCATGCTGAGGAGACTGGACTAATCACGTGGCTCGCGTCTCTAAGAGAATGAATCGGTTCCACCTGCTCAAGTCAGTCCTGTAAAGCCTAACACCCTTCAGCAGGCTTGACGCAACAATTTCACACAGGCACACACAACCGTCAATCACGCCGAAGGGATCAAAGACCTCAACCGGGCCCCGGGAGGAACACACAGGTGAGCATCAGAGGGCTCCCGCTCTCCGGCAAGGACAATGTGCGCGCGCGCGCATGCACACCACTGTCAGACAGGCAGACAGGAGCGAGTACTGGGGAGGCAGGGGTGGACCCAAGGCACCGGCTCCTCAGGGGACTACTGATTCTCAGTGTTCCCATATTCTCCGCCCCATATATTCCACAAATCCCCCAGGGTGAGGGTGAGGTGGGAAGGCACCTCTTTCACATTAGTCCCTGGGATGCCCCCTTCCAGTGACTCTGGTCTCATCCACCCACTGAGCGAGAGAGCTCCCACGGTGCACATGGGGCCCACGAGCTGGGCTGCTCCCAGGAAATAGTGCTGGAGGGGGGCAGTGCCTTTCTTCTCATTCCTTCAACCCAGCTCACCAGTCCCTTCTTCTAAACACTGGCTGATGAGAAAGGCCGGGCAGATCTCATCTGTGCGCATGCTCCTGCTTTATTACTTATTAAATTGCTTCTCTTTCCCCAACAAGTGCTTCCCCCACCCCCTTTCCTTCTTGGGGGCAGTACTGGGCCGCCGAAAGCGCCTAGGACATGGAGAACCCAAAGGCCAGTGCCAAGGTCCTGGCTCTGTACCCACAGAGGGTGGCTCCCAGGATGTCACACATCACTCTTCTCTCTCTCGGGTGCTCATCAGCAAAATGGGACAGTCAGCACATTCCCAAAGAGGTCCCTTCGAGTTCTAATATGTGCTCAGTTTCCAGAACCCAGCCACATATTTTAACACTCTATTCTTACAATGCTTACGTGGAAGGGAAATTCTTCCTGCTCGCCTGACAGGTAGATTAAGGCCAAGGAAACAATGGTGCGCTTTCAGATATTTAAGGACAGTACCGAAAACCAGTCATGAAGATCTAACAGCTCCTCAGACTGGCAAATACAAAGAACCCAAAGCAACCGTAAAACAAAACCAAAGGGAACAATGACTAAGCCTAGCTCACACCGGGGAAAGCTCCACAGCAGGAAGCGTTGTTACTTTTCATGCAGTGATGGAAAAACGGCCTTAACGATTGTCCTTTCCAATCCTCCATCATTACTGCAACACTGGTTAAGAGAAGAATTTGTATTATATTTCGCCAGCTCTGGATATGTGATGCTACTTAGCATTTCTGAGAAGCTCATGTAATAGGTTTCTTAAAAATCTTCAGCCCGGGAGATGGGGAGAAGGGGGGCCATGTGACAGGGAGCAAGGAAGGGCACAGGGAAGCAGGGACAAGGGGGAAGAAAGCGAAAGTGCCAGCATGAGCAGTAAACAGGACCTCAGGCCTCGCTCTGCGTGACGCAGGAGCAAGGAGCATCCTCAGGACGCAGGAGAACCACACTGAAGATTTTAGGAAACACAAGGAACAATGTCACCATGTTCTTTACTAAAACCTCTGTGGCCTGACAAGTCTGCAAGGAAAAAGCACAGCTATGAAGTAAGCGGTCATAGTCTTTGGTCGTTTTTGAAGAAGCCCCAGATTGTGGGGGACTTCTGCAGAACACTGTGATGCCCAAACTTAGAAGGTTTCTCTCAAAACCATTTGCATTGCTTTAGCATATTCTCTTATGGCTGCTGACCTCCAACCCCTCAACAAGCTAGGGTCTCCGTCTGCCCCTCTTGGTGTCGGGGAAGGTGGTGGGGCAGGCACGTCGGGAGCCCGTGGCCACTGGTGGGCACCACGATGAGCCTCCCAGAACCCCCTCAGCAGTCAGTCCTCCTCCGAGGCACGACCTCGGCCAAAGAAACGTGCCTCCCCCAGGCCACATCCTTCCAGAGGCAGACTATACCAAGGACTGATCAACACGGGGTAGAAAATCCAAGTCTCCGTCCCCTACATGCTATGCTCCATCTCAAAGTCTGCTTCCCAAGAAACCCGACCTGCGACCATGAGTTTGGTTAAATTACTGAGCTTCTGGGGCCTCCATTTCCTCAACTCCAGACTAGGAATCACAATACCTGCTCACAACTGCTGTCAACATTGAAGTGGGAGCCTTTTCCCTCACACTAAGATTTTTATTAAGTGAAACAGAGAGCTGAAGAGATTACTGACAGGACACTATTAAATATTCACATAAATAATAGCAGGTCACAAGATTTAACAATTACAAAATAACTTCGAGGCATAATTTTTATCAGCAAGTCTCTATAATAAACAGTACATTAAAATCCAGTGTTGTGGTGGTGTGGAATATTCTATAAAATCACTAATGCTAATCAATGAAGAGCTACTCTGTATTTCACAGGATCAAGAACACTGAAAGAACTGGAATACTGTGCACCTGTCAGTAACTTTTGAATAAGCAGATCTCTTAGCAGTACACTGACGGCAAGGATCAAGTCTGGATCTGCTTTCTACCCAGTGCCCTCCTCATATCCGGCACATTGTAAATGCACAGTAAGTATTAGTTCAACAAATGAATGAAGTAAATATGACTAAATTCTAATGGATCCCCCTTTAGAATACTGATTCCGTTAGTTTGACTGATATCCACACAAACAGCCTCATCATGAGACTTTTACTATCTGGAGCTGTTACATCTACAGACCTCTAATACATTAACTCAATGTTTAAAAAAGAAAAGGCCTGCCATATACCATTGGATTTCTTTCTTAGCACTTGACTAGATCTACTGTCCTTAAAGACATCCATTGTTTTGGTCTTACGCTGCCATATGAGATACTGCTATCAATTTCACATCTCTCAAAAAGAAAAAAGGCAAGTCACAAATTAGATAAAGATTAATTTTCTAGTAAAATGAATAGAAGACACTGATTTTAACATGTCATACAAATTACAAGGGAAAAATTAAATGCTGATTTACATGCCAACTAGGGAAAGGAGAAATCTGTGCATGCATTTGAGAGCATGCGACCTGTACATATTTGTAACTACCTGAAAATATGTTTTTTAGACTTGTAGAGAATTTGATTCTATAGCCCTTCTGATTATTTCTGGCAATGGTGAACAGAAATTTCAAGGATGACAAATTATCCTCAAACTTTATTTTTTTTAATTTTTTTTTTAAGATTTTATTTATTTATTTGACAGAGAGAGGGAGAGAGCACAAGCAGGGGGAGTGGCAGGCAGAGGGAGAAGCAGACTCCCCACTGAGCAGGGAGCCTGACACGGGGCTCGATTGCAGGACCCTGAGATCATGACCTGAGCTGAATGCAGACGCTCAACTGACTGAACCACCCAGGCGCCCCCTCAAACTTTATTTCAAAGAGTTTAACCTCACCGCTAGGGATATTAACCCATTAACTAAGTTGACTGCCAAGTCAACACACCAAACAGACAGCGTCTACTGACCTAAGTAATTCAGGAACTAAAGCATCTAAAAACTGATTCTGCTGCATACACACTGTGTAGAGTTTATTATGGCTAGGAGAAATATGGAGAAGAAATATTGACTAGAACACACACACGAAAATACCTAAAGTGGGCTTAACAGAGGTTAACATAAAGGCAGTGGTACCTGGGAACACAACTTTCACAGATCAGTGACAACTGCCAAGGCCACAACCCAAAGATTCTTGTTTTTCCACAGAAGATGAAATAATATCAATAGAGCACAATGTACTCAAAAAAGAATGTGATTTCCTTTTGTGCCCCAAAGTGAGAAAGCCGTTTTCATCTGCTTGGCCTGCATTAGGATTACGTGTCTTCTTCTTCCCTTCCCTTAAGCACATTCATAATAACAAACTGAATGTTAAAAGCTCTGGAGAAAATGAATTAACGACTCACTTTAACGGCTCAGGAGACAGTTTTGTGCCTGAAAGGTTGAGCTGCATCAGAGACAGAGAGCTACTGAAGAACTGTTTGAAGGACGGGGGTACTTCTTTTCCTTTCCTGAAAAACAAAACGGAAGAGTCATACCACTAACAGTTATACTTGGGGTCGGGTACCTCACTTCCAGATTGGCAAAATTACCTGTTGGTTATTCAGACACTGGGAAAAAAAAAAAAATCCATGAATCCATTATATTTTCGGTAGAAATTTAAAGGTAAAAAGAAACAAAATGTCTGGAAGCTAAATAAATCCAATACCATCAAAGGAACAATGCAAGAGAAGTTAAGACATTTCATTTAAGTCCTTAAAACCACTGCCATTCTTTGTAGCCAATGATCTCAAAGTGTGTTTTACCCACAGATCTCCTTGTTTTAATTTTTAAGAAACTGGGAGGTCAAAGAGGATGTCTATTTCTCACAATTTAATGAGCTTTCCCTCTGAGTGGCACTGAATACTAAGGATCGTTACGTGCACTTGGCAAAACTCTTAGACATGGCCTGTCTCAGATGCAACAAGATGTGACCTAATGGCAAACTCAGGAACAACACAGAAAGTCTGACTGGCATGAAGCCTGGGCAGCAAAAATCCTGATCAGCTCCTACATCCATAGGGCAAATCTAATCATTTTAGGCCAAATATTCAAAAAAAGACAAAACTCCAAAGAGATGGCTAGTAACTGCAAATATGTGCCCTTGTTGTTACGGGCAGAAATCCTACATTTCAAAAAGAAAGTAGAGTCAACGCCACACTAGGAGGGCTTTAGGGAAACAAGAGCCCAGAGTCAAAGTTGGAATGTGAACCCTAAGCTTGTTTTGTTCTATCTGCTATAGAAGTGATGGCAGGATTAAGTCCACATGCGTGAAGCACTCAGCCTGACGGAGAGTAAACACTCATTTAATGGTAGTTATTTATACTCTGTGGGCGGATTCAGAGTCTCAGGGCAGAGGCCAGGCTAGAGACTAGCTCACCCACATAACATTCAACAATATTTCTTATACAGAGGTCCAGGAAAACCTGTTAGAAAAAGGTTTTAAAAAAAATTTTTTTTTTAATTCATTTGAGACAGAAAGAGAGAGAGAGAGAGAGAGCATGAGGGGAGAGAGAGGTGCAGAGGCAGAGGGAGAAACAGGCTCTCTGCTGAGCAGGGAGCCCGATGTGGGGCTTCATCCCAGGACTCTGGGATCATGACCTGAGCCGAAGGCAGAGGCTTAACCCTCTGAGCCACCCAGGCGCCCCAGAAAAAGGTTTTAAACAAGATAATTTTAGGCTACCTGAGAATAACTACCTAAGCAACCAGAATCTCTAAGAGGTTGAAAATAAATTTAAGAGGAAAGAGAATTCTGGTACAATATATATTAGATGTCTCCAATGAACTCTGGCTCCAAATAGTGAAACAATATAAGCTTGAATACTCCTGTTCAGTTCTGATGAACAAATGTTGTTAAAATACTCTCTGAAGGGGCACCTGGCTGGCTCAGTTGGTTAAGCCTCTGCCTTTGGCTCAGGTCATAATCCCGGGGTCCTGGGATCCAGCCCTGCATCGGGCTCCCTGCTCAGTGCGGAGCCTGCTTCTCCCTCTCCCTCTGCTCCTCCACCCTCCACTCATGCGCTCTCTCTCTCTCAAATAAATAAAATCTTAAAAAAAAAATACTCTCTGAATGTAATTCTCCTCCTACTACTTTGTCTAGGTATCTACTGTACCAATGTTTCCAAGTATTCACTGCCCCTTTCTGTGAGAGGATGATGCTTCATCCCCCTACTGCTGGCAGGCATGGCCATGCAAGTCCCTTTGGCCAAGGGGACATCACATCAGACAGAAGTGATGTGTGTGACTTCCAGAGAGAAGCTGCACCAGCCAGTATGAGATGTGACTCTTTTTCCTCTGCAACGTGGCTAGAGATCTGCCTTTCAGATTAAAGGCAATGTGGCCAGCCCATAAGGGACATGTCACAAGACTACCACTGCTGAAAGCCATGGAGATGGGGGTGGGGAGGGAGGACCATTTGTTACTACAGAGCAACCTAACCTATCCTGACCGACACACTTAGGAACAAAAGTATGAACAGCCCGGCTGACAGTCCACAGCTCAGTGTAAATGCATCAATTTCAAGATAATCACTAAGGGCTTGCTAGGATTGTATCTAGGTACGTTGCTGGGTATTTAATCATAACCTCTCATTTGGATGACAAGCTGATTTGTTAGTACAGTCCTGCTCTGTAAGCTTAACAGCTCTACTGAAGACCAGTCATCACAGAGAAGGCGCCTGGGTGGCTCAGTCAGTTAAGCGGCCAATTCTTGATTTCAGCTCAGGTCATGATCTCAGGGTCCTGGGATCGAGCCCCGCATCAGGCTCCATGCTCAGTGGGGAGTCTGTTTATCTCCCTCTCCCTCTGCCCATCCCACCACCCACGTGCATGCGTGCTCTCTCTAATAATCTTAAAAAAAAAAAAAAAGACCATTCATCACAGAATTCATAGTATATGAACCCAAAAAAGCTGATTATGTGAAAATTTCTATCTTTTATGACATCATCTTCCCAATTCAGCTGCTCCATCCATCACAGCTTCCCCCAAAGCATGGCTTCTTAAAAAGCTTTCAAATACATGAGGTGACTGGGTAGTTTCAATCAATGCATTGAAGGCCCTCGAAATAGTGTCATAGAAAACCCTCAACTTCTCCCACCATTATAAACGCTTCACTCTCTGACCGTGTCTTATTCTGTTGAGGTGCTTGTGGCATATTTTTGCTCCTGTAAAGATTTACTTCACTGTTGAAGTAATGGACCGACTACACTTTAAAATATAGAATAATTTATTTGTGAGGCACAACTGTCAAATAAAGCAGGCTGAACAAGCAAATTTTCCAAACAAGTGAGGGTTATCCCTTTGAATATACAAAGCTTTCAAAATGGTAACTTATTAAAAGGGAGGTATTTCTAGTAGTCAGCAACTCTCCCTATTATTAAAAAGCACATAATGATAAAAATATGGTTTATGATTATGGTCATCATTATGAGTGCTAAGTGTTGTATTAATGCATTAGATGGTCTGAGAATTTCACAGGTAATAACCCATGTACTTTTTTTTTTTTTTAAGATTTTATTTATTTGACAGAGAGAGAGACAGCAAGAGAGGGAACACAAGCAGGGGGAGCGGGAGAGGGAGAAGCAGGCTTCCCGCTGAGCAGGGAGCCCGATGCAGGGCTCAATCCCATGACCTGAGCTGAAGGCAGACACTTAATGACTGAGCCACCCAGGCGCCTTATAACCCATATACTTTTGATAACTTTTCCTTCTTTTCCCTCCATTCTAAGTAGCGGCTGTTTGTGAATACTTGCTGTTTCTAATCTAACACCCTACACTGCAAACAATTCTAAGTCAGGAAGGTAGAAGTGAGGTGCTCAGGCTGGCCCTACAATTCTACACATTAATATTCATGAATCTGGGGGCACCTGGGTGGCTCAGTCACTTAAGCGGCTGACTCATGATTATGGCTCAGGTCATGATTTCACGGTCGTGGGCTCAAGCCCTGTGTCAGGCTCCATGCTCAGCATAGAGTCTGCTTGAGATTCTCTCTCTCCCTCTCTCTCTGCCCCTCCCTCCTGCACTCTCTCTCTCTAAAATAAATAAATCAGTCTTATAAAAAAAAATCCATGAGTTTGGGACCGGCCATACTCTCTGCTCCCCAGAGGGAGTTTATAGTTGCTTCCACGTTCATTGTTGAGAAGTCCCTTCTAAAAGAGCTTTTACTATATTAAGAGAGAGTACCTATCCCCATGGGACAAGCAGTTTCTAGACAGTTCACATAGCAGGCTGGGGTGATTGCTAAGAACATCCATCATACTGCAGTGAAAAAATACAACAAAAACTTGCACTTTCAAGGCCTTGTATTCACAGATTATCATTTAAGGCCACCTCCCTTCATGCACAACATGCATCCTTTATCGTTCTGTTTTCAGATCACCACAACCTTCTCTGGGAGGAAGACACTCCTAGATGACAATGGTGGCAGGTATAAAGCCATACCGGTGAGAAAAGACAGCTCTGGAGAGATTGAGCACAGCTAAATATTGGAGGCATCCCCGGAGAAGAGCCGCGCAGACCTGAGAACGAGAGAAAGCACTCTTAGTTTCCAATATTTCAAGGCCTAAGAGAACATTTTATTAGAGAGAAAACCCTCCCTCTATCACCCCTAAATGGCTGGTTTGACACCCCCAGCACAGTATCAAAAAAACATTACCATGTCCAGGGAACATTCTGTATTGGATAAATCCAGATGAGCAATGGCATTTGGCTGGGCCAAAAAACTGTACATGTACTTGAAATAAAAAACAAAAAACAAACACATTAGGATCTGGAAGCACACACACACGTTAATATTTTACAAAGAAGTTGCCCAAATCCTCCCATAACCATTCTCTAATCTTCCCAAGAGGATGAGCAGAATTTCATGTCATTCCATGGCTTTCCCCGAGAGCAAAGTTCCAAAGAATATTTAAAATAAAATTATGTTTGAGTTAAAAAAAAAAAAAAAAGGCCAAATGAACTCCTGGCTGCCAAACCCCCCTTTGTTACACATGACTTAGTTTTCCTGATTAGCTCCATTTTTATAATTTTGGAGCAATGCTAATTAATTTTAACTGCTGAGATTAAAATACCACCTGAATAGCACTCACCCTATAAAAATGCTAATCACTTTTGAAAGTGCTCAAAGATCCACTAATTTGAATTTGAACCATGAGATGGTCTTGGGCTACACTTTCTTCCACCCAAGACAATGATTTTTTCTATCCTTAGTTACTTCCAAAATCTAACAAGAAAGGGTCTGATGGCACTACTAGTTTAGGTTTTTTTTTTTAAATCTCATACATAGTTCAGACACGTCAGGTTTCAAAGGGTCACAATGCCTAAACTCTCCCTTATTCCTGTGCAAGGCCATCAAAACAATACATGTAAGAGTCCTCTGTTCTTCTCTACTTGCCCTGAGTAGCAACTGCTAGGGTCCACCAATAACAAACCGAGTTCAAGCTCCTGCCACCAGGAAAATAGCTAAATTCTCCTTGGCTTCTCTGGATGCCACCAGATCCTTGCAAAACCAAACAAGCTTACACCGAGATGTCCTCATCCTTAGCAAAGACTCACAGGGCAGTGGCTTAGCTCTATCGTGCTTGAGCAAAATCCTCTCTACCAAGGAATTCAGAAAAGCAAAAGATTAGCCCGTAAATACTTGAGAATAACTAGACACACACAACAGAGTGGATTATGAGAAGTTCTGATCCAGAAAAATAATTTGCTCTCACTTCCGTAAAGAGCGCTGCATCTCTCCGGCTTTGCCTGGCATGTGGTTTTCCTCTTGGCCACCAGCTGGGGGAGCTCTAATCACCCTCAATTGGTGACAAGACCCTACTTGGCCAACACCCCGCCAAAGAGGCAGGTCCAGCTAGGCGGCTGGCCCTGAAGGCAGGGGCCGGGTAAGCCCCTCCCAGCACCTGCTGCAGAGCTCCCAGAACCTCCCAGAACCTGTCCAGGGCTGGGAGCCCACTCACGCAGGCCTCACGGTTCCACTTCTCTTTCCCCAGAGGCAAGCCGGAACAAAACCCACCCTTGGCCACCCTCAGACCCACTCCTGGGCTACTTTGCTATCTACCTTAAGTGACTATGAATGCCCCTATGTTGGCAGAGTCTTATTATTTAATCTTTGGGCTCCTCTTTTATCCCTCTATTTCTCTAGTTTGCCACCGTAATGTCTTAGTGGTTTCCCATCGGACTCCTGGTTTCATCTTGGGAGGGAGCAGATTTATGAATCATCACTGAAGGTGATAGCTAACATGGGGCAATGCATTGAAAAAGTCACGGCACACCAGGAAACAGGATTGCTTAAAATGGGTTCAAGCATCAGAGAGAGGGAAGAAATCCTACAAAAAGGCCTGTGGCAGTATTCCCTGCCTTACAGGGAAAGTAAAACATAAGAGAAATGGGACTCAATTTCACAATGGTTTACACCCCCATAAAGAGGTAGGACACACATGAAGGTCCTTAGAAGACGCACACTGGTTGTAGGCTCTACATGGTAAGGGAGCATTCCTTCTAAATTCTATCATGGTGACCAGAGAGGACAACTCACCAAATCTGACATGAGATCACACCTAATTCATTGTACCAATATGATCTGCCAAACATTTATATTACTGATTCAGCTGCACGAAAAATCTTTTCACTGAGGGGAAACTTTTTGCCATCAAACTCGAACGTATTTGAAGAGTGGCCCCAGTGTACTCCCAACCCTTCCCTCTCCCTACCGTATTCATGGAATACAGGACTGGACTTTATCGCAATATCCTCTTTCAATTGCAAACTATTAAAAAAAAAAAAAAAAAAAAAACCTGTCCTCTTAACAATATTATTTAATGATGAAGTCATTCGATTTACATTTCTAATCTCTCTTATCAGGCAATTTTAAGAGGTCCGATGATGCTTAGAATGAAGGGGAAAGAAAGGTCCTTTAGAAAAAAAAAAGTGTTTCCAAAAAGAATTCACACTTTAGCAACATTCAGTTAACAGGGGAAAACATCTATGTGCTAAACTACATTTAATTAAGGACGGCTCTGGGCTTTTTCTCTAAAACACATCCTAAGCTCATAACTAACTAAATGATCTGAAAGTATCATGATAAGGGGAGCTGAGGAAAGCCATGTTTGCAAATTATGCCAGGCTTATGGAATACAGCGCCTTTGAACATGACTGTGAGGAAAGGGAAACTTACCGAGAGGTCGTCTCCGCGAAGGACGTTCCCTGAGAGGTCGAGATGGGTAAGGGTGGTGGCAGTCAACGGGTTGGCACTGAGTGACTGAGAAAGGCTATTCACCCCTGCAACATGAAGAAGATCCAGCTCAATTTCCACTCCAGGAAACAAAAGGGGGTTTGGGAGTGTCTATAAATGACCCCGTCAAATTGCAGGACTGAGGTTAGCCACAAGTACCGTCCCCAAAGGTAGGACTGTCTTCTTTTGACCTCCCCTCAGGGAGAACGGGGGAGTCACGGACACAGCCATCTCACTGAGTAGGAGAAAGAGACAGAATTGGTTTTATTCTGCTCCACTTCTGATGTGGATGGAAAGGATCTGACTTGAAAGTCCTAGAAGGATGCACGCAAGGATGCACGCAAGTCTAACTGGCCATTTCCGTCTTTCTCTTAATTCTGCTTGGTGTTCCTGACTTAATGTACGGGATTTAAGTGATGCAGGTGCGCCTTCAGGCACTTCTCACTACTTCAAGTGCTTAGAAGTTAATATAGGAGTCAGATAACTGTTCTACCTAATATATCACACTCAAGGCAGAATCCAGAGGGAAATGGATTTTTACAAAGACTGAGAACATGATCCGTATACAATATAAGAAGCAATCCAAAGGAAAAACGGATAATTGACACTCTATACACTATTTACACATGTAACATAAACGGCTCGAGTCAAGGTCAACTGAACTGAACTGAATGGGTTATTACCACCTCAAAAAACAAAGAATAAATACATGAGGAGGGCAAGAGCGTTCTGTGAGGCGAGAGCCACGTTCTTTCTCTACGGGGGTTAACAGTCACGGAGGCATGGCTGTTGGTGGGCCCTCCGCAAGCCACTTCTCTCCACGGGGGAAGGAGAGACTCCAGAAGGTGGGCACTACAAAATGGGGGCCCAGAGAGTCTGGCTGCTCACCAGGATTTGAAGAGGTCAATATCCACGATGGCACTGATGCTCATTCTTAGGGTAACAGGGATAGGGGACACAGCAAAGCTCTTCATGTTTCTACAGTTCACAGTTTCAGTTTGTATATTTTGGAAATATGGCGATTTCTAAACTGGATATACGTTCATAAATTTTTTTTTTCTCAGTAAAATTCTTAAAAATCCCAGCCTGTCTTGAGCACCCTACAGGGACACAGGAAAGGGGGCTTTGGTCCACACTTGCATAGACCTTCCCCGGGATAAGGGATGGGGGTAGGGCCTGCCAGTGGGAGATAGAATTGGTCACAGCAGCAGGATGAAGCAAGGCACTCCAAGAAAAGAGCAGAGGGTCCCAAGGACAGCCCTGCCCTGGAGCAGGTCTCTGCTCTAAGTTTAGAATTTTTTTTTTTTTTAAGATTTTTCTTTATTTCTTTATTTGACAGAGAGAGAGCACAAGCAGGGGGAGAGGCAGAGGCAGAGGGAGAAGCAGACTCCCCGCTGAGCAGGGAGCCCGACGTGGGGCTCGATCCCAGGACCCTGGAATCATGACCCGAGCCGAAGGCAGCCGCTTAACCAACTAAGCCACCCAGGCGCCCGAATGTTTGGTGCATGGACTGGTGAAAGGGTTATTATCTCATCCTCCAGCTTTGGGGGGTTACAAAACCAACTGCAGTATGTATGTGTCTGATAAAGATGACTGAGCCATTTCTCAGAGGTGACTGTGCCTCTGGGTGTTGCAGACAGAGAAGAGACAGAAGTGGAGAGTGAAAAATATTTTAGTTAAATACCAGGAAGAAGTTCTTGGCTATCAATTCAACATTTGTTAAGTGCTCATAAAATGTTTATAAAATGCTGGGGATTGGGAAATAAATGTAAAGGAGGCCCATTCATTGCCCTTGAAAAGTTCAAAGACCATCAAGAAGGAAACTAAGTAAATTCCAGCATGAAAAAATCAGCGCTCCTCAAGGAATATTTATTCACTGCAACAAAAGTTTATCTCAGACCAACTGTCCACCAGGCATGGGCTTCTGAGACCCAGGGAATACTATGTTACCCTCGAAAAGCTAGTGCAATGAGAGACACAGTCAAATAAGCATAATCCAGAGAGGTCGGTTCTTTCAAAGAGGTAAAAAAACAGGAGCTTGGCAATGAAGGAGGTGGAGATTTGATTAATTATGCTAGATAAAAGGAACTTGCAATGGCCCATAGAAGGTTAATTTCTGGAGGTAACATCTATGATTGCTTAAGTGACCAACTTCTTTCATGTGTACTGTTGTTAGTAGTACTATTTGTAATGGAATAATTGAGTACCAAGCATGGAGAATACCAGACGGTCTCTCATCAAGAAAATCATGTGTAAAATCACTTCCTTAGTGAGGAAGAACGAAACTCAATAAAAAAAAATTCCAAAATTAGAAGGTCAAATTAGTCTTGACAGGAAAAGGCTCCTTGACAAGTGTGGGCGCTTGGCAGTTGGCCAACATCTAAACAGAATCAGGAGAGAATTATATTCTCAGCTCAGCTTCATGCTACTAAAACAGAATGAAGGACTTCCTCCCCACCTCTTGAGCCCACATCCACGTGAGGCCTACGTTAATAGGCACACTAATAGCAGGAAATTACAAAAATATAGGATGGGAAAAAATCAGGGTTCTTAGAACCCAAACTAAACATGGATTTACGTGCCGTTCCCGATTCTGGCTGTCTAGTGATTTTGACCATTCTTCGTATTTATTATTGGAGTGTTTACAGCTGGAAAAAGGTGGTACCAGATGGCCCTGCATTGACATAATCTGGCAACCAGCAGGATATTTACTAGAAATCCAGAAAACTATCATCTAGCTAACATCTGAGGAAGAGAAAGAGTATTTGGAGACAGTGGGGATGTCACGGCAGGATTTAAAAAAAAAAAAAATCTGTCTTGAATTATGGAGCCATGAATACACATGTTTTCGTAGAACTAAAATGCAAATGTTAGTCAAATTCAGCAAAAGATTAAAACTGCAGTGTAATCTGAGTTACTGTGAATCTTCAAACCTTTCAGATACTACAAGAAAATCTGCAAGAATAATGAAATCCTTTAAGAAATCCTCTTTTTTATAAAAAAAAAAAAATTCAACATTTCAACACATACATCTCTTAGAAAGGGCAGCTTAAAATTCTTTGGGTCAGAGTATCATTAAACAATATTAATTCTCAAAACACACATACTAAGGTACACAAACTTTATGGCAGAGAAAAGATAAACGTGGCGTGAAGACCTTTATCTGTGAAGGGCATGGGGAACATGGGTCTGTCCTCACTCACGAGAAAGCTGAGGACCTCTGCTCTGCCTGGGGGACCTCCCACCCTCACGACACCTGGAGGGATGGGGACATAGTGACTGGCGGCAAAGAGGTACCCCAGGCCAGACACTTGTCCTTGGGAGGATAAATGATCGCCACATCCCTCTATTTGTCTCACAGTCATGAACAAATAAATTAAAATAAACAAATTCAAGTTTTGTTTTTTTTTTTAAACACCTCTATCATAAAAAAAGGGTTGGACCATGTAGTACGATGATGACAGTTAATACTGTACTGTGTATTTGAAAGCTGCGAAGAGTAGATCTCAAAAGTTCTCATCACAGGGGCACCTGGGTGGCTCAGATGGTTAAGCGTCTGCCTTCGGCTCGGGTCATGATCCCAGGGTCCTGGGATCGAGTCCCGCATCGGGCTCCCTGCTAGGCGGGGAGCTTGCTTCTCCCTCTGCCTCTGCCTCTCTCTCTCTCTCTCTGACTCTCATGAATAAATAAATAAAACATTAAAAAAAAAAAAAAGTTCTCATCACAGGGTAAAAGAAACTGGAACTGTGTGTGGAACAGATGTTAACTAGACTTATGGTGGTGATCATTACACAGTATGTAGGTATCAAATCATGATGTCGTACACCTGAAACTAATATAATGTTGTGTGTCAATTATATCTCAACAAAAAACAAATTTTAAAAAGTTATACCTATGGAGCACATGATAAATGATTAATACTTTTAGTATGCAGGGAACATACAGAAATTCAGAAAGAAGATTAACATGGCAAACAGAGAGGTAACAAAGGATGGAAACTAGCAACTTCCTCCAAAAGAAAGACAAATGACTAAGAAATGGGAGGGTGTCGGGGGTGAGGGGGGGAGAGAATTCACCTAAGCAAAAAGTGAAGAAACTAAAATTAAAATATCAGAACACTTTGAGGCTTAGTCGGTTAACCGTCTGACTCTTGGTTTCAGCTCAGGTCACGATCTCATGGTTGTGAGATCGAGCCTCACGCTGGGCTCCCCATTCAGCAGGAAGTCTACTTAAAGATTCTCTCTCTCTGGTCCTCTCCCCACTCATGCATTCTCTCTCTCCAAAATAAATAAATAAATCTTTTTAAAAAAATCAGCACACTTTGGCTTATATGCTTGATAAACAATGAAAAAGGAAGATACCATCTGAGGGCGGTGGGAATGTGGAGATTTGTACAAACAACTTGGAGGACAACAGGACAATAAATATGAAAAGAAAGCTTTAAAAAAATGCATGACCTTTTTGATTTAGCAATGTAGTACTTAGAGAAATTTATCCTAAATAAGAAAGCAACAAATGAGCAATAATTACATTCAGAAGTCATGTTAGCATCGTTTGCATTATTGAAGAATTAGAAACCACACAAATGTACAATAACAGGCCATTCACATCAATTGTGGGGCTTGTTCCACACGCTGGAACAGCATGCAGCCACTGGGAGGAATCACGTGTTTGCGGTCACAGAGGATCACAACATACAACGCAGGGGGAAAAGTTCATGAAACGGCAAGCATCTCGTAATACCATCTATGCATGTGTGTCTGGACGTGGGCATATAGAGAAAGTACATACAGACAGAAACCCTGTGGAAGGATGGGGGCCAGGCTGCCAGCAGGGGTGGTCTCCTAACGGTGTGGTTCTGGCGTAACGAGTTAACCGTGGCTTCTTATTTATGCTTTTCAGTATCTTCTAAATCTTTACCATAAATATACGATGCATTGATAATCATCAGAAAAAGGTTTCTATAAAACTGATTTGCTAGAGTAGGGGAGTGGTAACATCACCGGATGACACTTAGCTTTAAGATCTGTGGACGGATTCCGGCACATGGACAAAAAACACCGACTCCCGGGCACATTTGCCCCCTTTGAACAGTCCCTGGAAGGCCTAAACCTAAACGTCTGCACATAAAATCATGGGACTTACAGAAATAACCCCAATTTCAAATCACTCTTAGGGTAATTGTATGGTGGGGATAAAGCAGGATTGGATGGCTATGACATCACTGAGGGACCACTTTGCTTGTGCACCCGCTCACCCGTGACACACACAGTAGGGACCCACAACGTGCCAGGTGCCAGGGACGCAGCGACAACTGAGGCACAGCCCTTACCATCCAGAAGCTCTCAGGCTAGGACACAATCAACACACAACGGGAAACACACTACAACAGAGGAATTTGCAAAGTGCAGTAGAACAGAGAGAAAGAAGCATCGACTTGTGCAGGGTGGGGTGAGAGAGGGCTTCAAGGAGGAAGGGAGACGGGAGTTCAGTCTCACAGCAGGGGCAGGAATTCACCAGGTCTGGGGGAGGGGCACAGGTTGTCCCAGGACGAAGTAAAAGCACACACATGGCAGAGCAAGATGATGATGGTGACGGTCGTGAGGCCTCTGTGCCCCAAAGTGCACTGTTTGTATATTAACTCACTTTGTCTCACCACCTCTGATGAGCTAGATACTCCTTTTTTTTTTTTCTTCCTAAAGATTTTATTTGAGAGAGAGAGAGCATGAGCAGGGGAGGAGCAGAGGGAGAACAGTAAGGAGACGCCGTGCTGAGTGTGGGTCCCGACGAGGGGCTTGATCCTACAACCCGTGACATCATGACCTGAGCCAAAATCAAGAGTCAGACGCCTAACCGACGGAGCCACCCAGGCGCCCCGAGGTAGTCAGTTAATTCCATCTTACATATGATGTAAGTGAGGAACCAAGACCTAATAAAGGCATGTTCATATTCGGTGAAAAAAATCAGGACTCAGTCCTAGGCAGTCTGCTTGAGAACGGACACTCAGGCCCTCAAACACGACAGTGGTCCAGGCACCGTGCCACTGCTGGAGAGATGGAGATGAGAGAGGCAAGGACAGCGCCCCTCCAGGACGGAAACAGTATTTATACAGTAGCATTAGATCCATAAGTAATAATGTGATCAAGAACTAACACAGAGGAAAGAGTGCTCGATTCTACTGAGGTCTCAGGAATAGGGAAGATGTCTCAGAAGAGCCGATCACAAATGAGGTTTTTTATTTTTTTAAGATTTTATTTATTTATTTGAGAGCGTGCACACGCAGAAGCAGGGGAGAGGGGCAGAGGGAGAAGCAGACACCCTGCTGAGCAGGGAGCCCGATGCAGGGCGCGATCCCAGGGCCCTGAGATCATGACCTGAGCCGGAGACAGACACTTAACTGACTGAGCCACCCAGGTGCCCCACAAATGAGTGTTTTATAAAATAAACTGAAGCTCTCCAAGAATATATATAAGGGGAGATGTGAGATACTAGAAAATATATATATATATTGGTCTCTGCTCCCCATTCCTAGCACAGAGTTCTCTAAACCCTTGTAATTTCTGAAGTAATAAGAGCACTGGGGACATCTTTTGTTCTAATGAGGTGACTCTAGGTGCGCTCCTGGATGGGGCTGGTCACCAGAGAGACCAAGCCATGATTAGAAGCTTGAAATCTTCAGCTACCTCCCACCCCCGTTCTCCGGGAAGAGGAGAAGGGCTGGAGACTGAGTTAATAATTGATCATGCCTATGTGAGAAGCCTCCATAAACTCCCAATAGCACAGGTTTCGGGGAGTTTCCAGGCTGGCAAACGCATCCACACCAGGAGGGCGACGCACCCCAGCTCCACAGGGACAGGCGCTCCCGCGCTCAAGACCGTCCCACACTTTGTCTTATGTATCTCTTCACCTGGCTGTTCATCTGTGCCCTTTATCATATCCTTTAATAAACTAGCAAACCTAAGTGTTTCCCTGAGTTCTGCGAGCCGCTCTAGCAAATTAACCAAACCCAAGGCGAGGTCTTTGGAACCTCCAACAACCTAGGCTTGCAACTGGAGTATCAAGGAGGGTTGGGAGTAGTCTTGTGGGACTGAGCCTTTAACCTGTGGGATCTGACACTGTCTTCGGGTAGAGAGTGTGAGAATTTTGTGAAATTGTGGGACACCCAGCTGGTGTCACAGGGAACTGCTGGGTGTGAGGAAAAACCGCCACACATCTGGTGACCAAACGGGAAGTGTTTGGTGTGAGTAGTCAAGGAGACACGCACACAGGAAAGAGAAACACGAAGGAGGGGAAGAAGGCAGGTTTCACCCTACAGGATGAAAGAAAGACTTTCCAAGCAGAATACAAAGGATGTACAAAGGCACAACGCACGCAGGGATATTTCAAGTGTTATAGGGGTGCTGATGTGAAAACACAATGACAGAATGGACAGGGTTTACTGGACAACCAGATACATGAGAGAAGGGTGAGTGGAGTCAGAAAAGACCCTGGGGAAGGAAAGGCAATTTCCAGAGCAGGATAGAGACTGGGCAGTTAGGTGCACCAGTTCTCTGTGCAGGAGACCATCCATGTGACTGTGTGTGTGACAGGGGCGGGCGGGCGGGGGGGGGGGGAGCACAGGTAAGCACTCCTCGACCCCAAGTCAGAAAGTTAAATAACGTATTACATAATTATGCTCTACTCTGAAAGCATCTCACTTTAGACAACCAGAATTCCAATTATATCACTTCTTCATTGTATAACCCTCAGAGTACCGTAATACATATGCAGACACATAACTGAGTAATACTTCTAACTATTTAAAGTAGCATGGTGTAGCAGAAATATTACAGACATAAAGTAAATAACACATACTGTACCTTTAGGTGATAATGAGGTTTTAGATAAATTTAAATGCTTTAATCCCTTTGGGAGTTTGGCAAATTGAATACTTAAAGAGGACACACCTGAGAAAGGAAAAAAAAAAGATTAGAATGTTCAACTTCTCAGAATTGCATTTGTTTTATAATGCCTGAAAATTAACTTAAATTTGATTCCAACTTAAGTGATCATTTTTTTCTAATGTCAGACTTTATTTTCTAATTATCTACCATCACACCTCCTTTTTTTCTGTCCTACCTAAAGGATAGGAGAAAAGAAAGATTGTTTAATTAAGCATAACAATACAAAAACTTTACCATTAGAGATGTTTTTCTTTGGACTTAAGTGTTACCCTCTCCTCTATAGTCCTATTTCAAATGCAAATACTCTTAGGAAGAGTGATATAATTGCTTCTTTTTAACCTGTGTCTTAATGAGTTCATCACTCTTCTGGGTGAGCAGATGCATGCTACTTAATTATTGTCAAGAAAACGGTATAATGTTAACTCTTCAGATAAGAGCTTCGCTTTTAGCACATGGATTCCAATACTTAATTAGCTTATGGCTAACAACCTCAGACAAAGCATCAGAGTGTGTTTAACTTCTTAAAGGTAGGTTTTGTAACTTGAAAAATCACAGTATTGAAAACCAGAGAGTCTCTAAATTTAATGACCAGACTGGGAGACTGTGAACACCAGCTTACTCACTCAAGGATTGCAACGAGTGTAGACTGTTCACTGGGAGAAATAAGTAATACATGAATGTACGCTCTTCCTATAGGTCATTCAACCAACTTCCTGCTACATGTGAGTTATCACCTTTCCAGGGGCATGTTCCTGGGAAGGTTCCTGAAACAATATTAACCATATGGTCTCCTAGACTGATTCTCAAACTCCATGCACTGATACGGAACTACCATGCTGGTTGCTGCCCTATTATATAACCCCACATTCCCTACACATTTTATCAAAGTTCATCAAGAAATACCTAGTGTAGTAGTTAGAGTAGAGGTAGAGCACTAAACCTCTAGTTGGGTGTCTCCCCAAGGACGGTGGGGGTTCTGAGAACCCCTATTAACCTCCTCATATCATTTCCCAAATAAGTTTGAAAATCGCTGGATTAAATGATGTCAAACAGGTTTGTTTATGTGAATATTTCTAGAGATGTGAATATGCTAATCTGTATCATTAATTACAAAGACGGGCAGGCCTGATGTTTAGCTGATAGATTCTTGTAAAAGAATGTACCACTAGTAAGTTAATGGGGACACAGGGAAAAGGGTGTCATTTTAGAAATGTAATTAATCCAAAAGGCAGAAAAGGAGGAAAAAAGAACAAAGAAAAAATGAGGAAAAAAGAAAACAGACACATAGTAGATTGCCATAAAAATAAATCAATAATTACATTAACAGACTTGTACCTCTGAAACAAACAATATGTTATATGTTAAAAGAAAAAAAAAGATAGTAGGAAGGGAAAAATGAAGGGGGGGAAATCGGAGGAGGAGACGAACCATGAGAGACGATGGACTCCGAGAAACAAACTGAGGGTTCTAGAGGGGAGGGGGGTGGGGGGATGGGTTAGCCTGGTGACGGGTATTAAAGAGGGCACGTTCTGCGTGGAGCACTGGGTGTTATGCACAAACAGTGAATCATGGAACACTGCATCAAAAATGAACGATATACTGTATGGTGATTAACATAATAAAATTTAAAAAATTAATAAATCCTGATAATTTTGAAAAAAATGTAAATGTACTGACTAAATACTCAAAACAAGTCAAAAATGGATTATCTACACAAAATTATCAGGTGCTTTCAAGAAACAGTTAGAAATACATGTGTTCAGAAGTGAACCTAAAAGCATGTAAAAAAATATATGCTGCAAACACTAACCAAAAGAAAATTGGTATATCTGCAACAACGTAAGACAAGTTAGATTTTAAGAGGCAAAGAGATAAGTGAGACATTTCATTAACGAAGAAGATGTAATGATTTTAAATCTGTATAACAATCTCAAAATGTATAAAGTAAATCTAATGGTAACAAAAGGAAAATACATATATTATATACATTATATGTGTGTGTGTGTGTGTGTGCGCGCTACCTCGCAACAGTGGGAGGTTTTTAAACACAACTCTGTCAGATGATAAAACAGACAAAAAAGGGCATAAAGACACAGATGATATCAAGAACACAATAAAAAAATGTCTGATATATTTAAAACACTACACGTAATAACTGAAGAACATATGTCTTCAAAGTACACGTGGAGCCTTTACTTACCAAAAGTGACAATAGGCTGAGCCAAAAAGCAAGTCTCAACAAGTAATATAGAGGATGTTCCTTAACTGCTGTGAAATTACACAAAGCATATTCTCCAACTGCTACCACTATATGCAATTAATATAGGAATTGTAGCAAAAAGAGAATCTGAAAATCCCCAAATCATTAGAACATAAGCAATGCATTTCCAAATAACAAATGAGCTCCCCCAAAAGAAAAATCACAATGGAAATCTTAAAAATATTTTTATTTAAATTGTATTTATTGATTTTTTTTTAAAAGATTTTATTTATTTGTCAGAGAGAGAGAGAGAGAGCACAAGCAGGGGGAGCAGCAGAGGGAGAAGCAGGCTCCCCGCTGAACAGGGAGCCCGATGTGGTGCTCGATCCCGGGACCCTGAGACCATGATCTGAGCCGAAGGCAGACGCTTAACCGACTGAGCCACCCAGGCGTCCAAAAAATACTATTTAAGTTTTTTAAAACTATGATATCAACATTTTAGGGATACAATTAGAGCCATGCTTAGAGTGAAATCTATAGTCCTAAATACTTATGTTAATTGAAAAAAGCTGGAAACTAATTATCTAAGTATCCATCTCAAGATATCTGAAAGAAAAGCAGCAAATTAATCCCCACTCCATCCGCATAAACAGGAGAGGGAAAAAAAGATAACAAAGGGAAGAAATCTATTAAATAGAAAGCATCCAATAAATAAGTAAATTTAACAAATCCTGTTCTTCAAAAACACTAATAACATTAATAAGCCCCAGCAACGCTGTTTAAAAAAAAAAAAAAGAAAAAGAGAAAGAGAAGGAACAAATTATCAAAATCAGAAATGGAAAAAAAATACTAGTAGAGCTCCTTCAGACATTGCAGATATAACTAAGGGGTATTAAAAATTTTTTTTTCTGTAGGTCAAAATGTATCATTTTCGAAGAAACGGACAGATTTCCTTATGAAAAATACAATTTACCAAAACTCACGTAAGAATAGATAATCTCAACAGTCTTCTATCTATTCAAGAAAATAAACCCATTATTAAAAACCTCTCCACAAGTTAAAGCAAAAGTTGCCAAATATAAAAGAGTATACACTATATAATGCTATTATTTATGAAGTTCAAGAATAAAGCTAACCTATCATAACAGAAGTCAGAATAGTAATTATGTTTTCTGGGTGGTAGAGGGCAAGGGTGAAAATCACTAGAGCAAAACATTAGGGAAGATTGTAAAGCGCTGATAACATTCTTTTTTTTTTAACTTTTTTTTTTTTTAAAGATTTTATTTATTTGAGAGAGAGAGAGAATGAGAGATAGAGAGCACGAGAGGGAAGAGGGTCAGAGGGAGAAGCAGACTCCCCGCTGAGCAGGGAGCCCGATGCGGGACTCGATCCTGGGACTCCAGGATCACGACCTGAGCCGAAGGCAGTCACCCAACCGACTGAGCCACCCAGGCGCCCCAGCGCTGATAACATTCTTGTCTCGAGCTCGGTAGTGATTTTGGTGAGTGTTCACTTGGTAAAACTCCAAGAAGACATAAACTTGGTATTTGTGAAGTTTTCTGAACGTACATTATACTTCGATGAAAAATTTTACTTCTAAAAATTTAGGCATGGGAGATAATAGAGGAGAAAAATGGAGATGGCCATGGTATGGTGATGCCTTTTTAGACAGAACACCAAAGGCACGATCCGTGAAAGACATAACTGACAAGCTGGACTTCATTAAAATTAAAATGTTCTGTTCTACAAAAGGCAATGTCAAGAGAATGAAAAGGCAAGCCACGAACTGGGAGGAAATGTCTGCAAGGACTGATACTCAAAATATACAAAGAACTCTTAAAATTCAACAATAAACAAGCCAACTGAAAAGGAGCCAAAGACCTTAACAAAACTCTCAGCAAAGAAAATACACAGATGGCAAATAAACATATGAAAAAATGCTCCACACCCTATGTCCTCAAGCAAATGCAAAGTATGTAACAACAAGATACCACTACCCACCTATGAGGATGGCCAAAATCTAGAACAGGGGCAACATCAAATGGTGGCAAGGGACTCCCACAACAGGACCTCTCATTCATGGCTGGTGGGAGTGCAAAGTAGCACAGCCACTTTGGAAGACAGTCTGGTGGCTTCTTACAAAAGTTAACATACATTAACATGTGATCCAGCAATTGCACTCCTTGGTACTTATCCAAGGGAGTTAAAAACTATATGAAATTCTTGGAAAGTCAAAACTGTGGAGACAGCAGAAAGATCAGTGATTGCCAGGGTTGGAGGATGAAGGGGTTGGGAGCGGAAGAGGGATGAATAGGCAGTGGACGATTTTTAGGACAGTGAAAATCCCCTATGATACTAAGAGGGTGCTTATGTGTCACTGCGCATTTGTCCGGACCTGTAGAATGTACACCAAGAGCGAATCCTAATGAAAACTATGGACTTGGGGTGATGATGAGGTGTCAGTGTAGGTTCATCAACGGTCATAAATGTACCACTCGGGTGGGGGTCACTGATAGTGAGGAAGGCTGTACCTCGGTGGGGGCAGGAAGGATACGGGAAATCTCTTTATCTTCCTCTCAATTTTGCTGTGAACCTAGAACTGCTTTAAAAAAAATAAATAAATCTTTTTCACAACTTAGGTATGGAATTGGGAAGGATACCAGATTCTCGCTTTTAAGTTTTGATGAGTTATCACTGCCTACTCTGGACCAATTCTTTTATATCGTGTTTTTCCTAGCAAAGCATATGTTATGACAATGTTTAAAAAAAAAAAATCCCCAAACCTATAACCCATGTCTTCAAA